ACTCAAACCCAAATTGCATAAATTTTCTTTAAAAGGAATTTCGACAATAAATCTACCTGTTTCATCTCTTTTGGTTGTGCGTATAAAATGTTCTTCACAAAATTTTTCACTCTCGGATAATAAACCTTTTTTTGTTTGAACTTCTTCCAGTTCCCAAAATTTGATTACAATTTTATCTAAAGAAGACTTCTTATGATTGACAGTGACATTTGAAACAGAATAATTTTTTCCTAGTAAATTTAAGTTCAAATTTCCTGCAATTATCCAACCAAATTTGCTATTATATAAAACAGGTAAATTTTTGCCCAGGTTTCGTTTTTGGGAATTCAAAATCTTCCAGAATATGCTCGAGCCTATTAGCATATCAATGTCACTACTTATGTTAAATTTAGGATCGGCCAAATTATATTCCTTAGGAATGTTTAGTAATTTTGTATCAAAAGACACAAGTGGCAACTTGTCAGTTATTTTAGGCAACACCAAACAGTTAATTTTTTCTTGGTACTCTGAATAACAGGATTTAATCAATACATTAACCTGCTCATTTATATTAGCCAGAGCTAAACCAACACCTGTAATGACGTGATTTATTTTGGAAACATTTAAATGAAGTTTTCTACACAGTGACTCTGAAATAAAGTTGCTTTGAGAGCCACTGTCCAATAAAACTCTACACAAAACATAGTTATTATTAAAAAATACTTTTATAAGCGCAGTAGATAATAAAATCTGGGACGAGCTGATATTATTGGCTACAGCGCCAATGGACGAGGTGGAGGCTTGAGTTTCATCTTGGTCGTCTCTATTCTCTTGCATTTCAATGGGAGCGACCTGAACCTGCAGCTCCCCCTCGCTCACCACCGGAGCCGCCAGCAAGCCACAGTCAGCCGGGATAGATACTGCGCTTATTGACATATTATTATTTTCTTGATTTACTATATTTTCATTTGGTAAATTTTCCAAATGTAATAATTTATTATGGGGCCTTTTACACTTTTCGCAACGCTGGGATCTGCATTTCCAAAAAGCATGCTTTCCTCGTAAACAATTTAGACAAAAACCTAGTTGTTTTATTATTGCAATACGGTCCTTTACACTACGTTTTAAAAACAAGGGACATGATGCAACAGGGTGATCCTCCTTACAATGGGCGCATCCAAAAGGTTTTTTAATCTCTAGGTTATTAGCCTCGGTTGCTGAATAGACATTGCTTGCACTATGTGCTTGTTTTTTCGAATAGTTCTGACGTTTAACGTCGCTCTTCGAAAACTCAAGTTTTTCCAACAATTCACAACGATTTTTTAAAAAACGAGTAATATCATCCCATGTAGGAAGATCACCATGGTATTTGTAGCATTCCCAATCACGTTTTGTCGTACTATCAAATTTACCAGAAATTATATAAATCATTATGCGATCCCAGTGTTCGACTTTCTCGCCCATAGCTTCTAGAGCATGCAAATGTTTGCAAAAATTATCAAATAACGTTCTAAGACCTGAATGAGATTCACTACTGACAGCTGGATGTTCAAAAATGGATCTTATATGACTATGAATAATAATACTTCGATTTTCATATCGATCTAGAACTAATTTCCACGCAATCGGATAGTTTCTAGCAGATAATTCTATAGACCTAATAAGCTCTAATGCATCTTTTTCAAGTGACGACCTTAAATAAACCAATTTTTGAACTTCAGATATAGCACTATTTTCGTCAATTAGTGAAGTAAACAATTCTTTAAATTCAATCCATCTTGTATAATTGCCATCAAAAGTAGGTAGTTTTATGGGAGGCAATTGTACTTGTGGCTGAACTAGGGCATTTGGATTTGGCAAAACGGAATTTGGATTATTCACATTGGCAACAGTAATCGGATTAACCACAGACGGCTGGGGACCTGATCTATTTTTTTCATAATATTTATCTAAAATTGATCTAATTTCACCCACCAATTCGCAATATGAATCTTCAAATTTTTCACGTTCGTCAGAGTCGCATTTTTTCTCCAACTCTTCAATATCTGCTTGAACCTCTAGGAACTCAGTCCAAATAGGCTGTATTTGATCATATCTAACACGTACTTGTGCAATAATTTTATCATTTAAATTATTGATATCTAACCCCACTAAATATTTCCCTAATCTAGTTAAACGCCCTTTAAGGGCACCCCTCTTAATATGTAATATGCCGATATCAACATTATCTTCTTCCAATGGTTCATCAGCCATAATTTAACAATTAATAAAGCGGGTAAAAGGAAAATAAGTGAGATAATAGAAAAATCGGTATAAATAATATAAATGGAACGGACTTACATAGGAAAATCCTGAGGAATTTGCTTATTTCAGGTCCAATATTGCTGGATTTGCTGTAGCACTAGCTTTACTTAGCTTCAACACAACTTGTGTATAATATAAAAATGGCTCGACCTGTCAATGACGTCACTAGCGAGTGTGCTACGCAATAATTTCACAGACAGGAATATTATTTTTCAGCTTTAAAGTCCCGATCCGGCTCGAAGCTGACCAAAATGGTCTTCAATAAGTGGACTGTATGTTTATTTTATATTTAATAACTTTTATTCAACTGAATATACAAAATTTAACTTAAAAATCAAGAAATTTGTACTACAAAAATGAGAATAATGTTGCCTTTTATAAAGCTCGGCTAGTAGTCGCGAGCGAGAGAGCGCTTGCTTCCCAACAGGGCTCCCCTCTCTCGTAGTCGACGTCCATCGAATCGATCGATAATAGTCCTTATGCGCGAGCATGCGCGGACCTCGCAGTGGTACAACCGCAATAAAATGACGCACAAAAAGAGTTTTTAGTTTTTCTTATACAGAATTAGAAAACGGAACAAATAGTGTAACAACGATCACCAGTAAATGCGGCCAAAAAAGATATACTTTAGGGATGATATTGAATCCGTAAAACTAATCTTTTTGTGACAGTCGCCTAAAAACAAAGTTAAAGGTAGAGGAAATTGTTCAAAATTTTGGATAAATCAAAAAATGCAATTTCATACTGGGTGTTCCATTCAAAATACCATTTTCGATAATTTAGACAGAAGCGGCAACATCAAAAATATGTTTGAAAGACGTGCAAATTAGGCAATTCAAACCACGTGACAATCAAGATGGCGTGGCGGCCACACATGAGCCAAAAAACACAAAAAAATATCTAGTTTCTGCCCGATTTATTAGTTCAGGTACCTAGTCAACAAATATATTATTAAATAATCAAAATCAAAGTTGCAAACCAAGCTCTAAGCAAAATAATTTAAAATAAGCATAAAAACATAATCAGAACAAACTTGCTTGGCCGCCATATTGAATTTTCCATTTTGACAGATGGATTGAATTGCCTAATTACAACAACTGTTGTTTGAAACTTGTTTTCATAAACCTTATTTTGTCTGGAATAAACGTAAATCCCCTTCTGACATAGGTTACCAGCACGTTTTGTTGGTAATGGGAGCATCCAAAATGCACAAAAAAATTATGTGGATATTGCCAATTCAACAACTGAGAATGGCTGTGACAATTGAATATACGTGGACTCGTTTCAAACGTTAAGAGTTTCAAGTAATTCGTGAATGGATACTTACCGATTATGGGTACGCCGCTGCTCACCAAGAAATCAAATCAATTACAATGTACTCATTACAGGAGAGAGATAAACGTGGGGTGTTACAATTACCTACCAAAATCTTGTTTTACAAAATACAGTAACTTCTACCAACACAAAAACCCTGAAATAACAGCATTTTAGAAAAAAATCGAAATTTCATTAACGAAGCGGAATATCGAAATACATATTGTGAAATTAGTTTTTTCTTTATAAATAAGAGACTAAAAAAATGCCAATAAAAAATATTTTGTTTTTGTTTTGTGGAAACCCGGTACATGGAAATTTTGGTAAAAAAAACTTTATTTTCTTTTTCACCCTGTAGTTAGTAAGGCGCTTCGAATAGGGAAAGTTGGACCAAAGCAGCGTGTTCAGATTTAAGTTTTCTTTTAAATTCCGCAAACCGCTCATCGATATCTTTTTTAGTTCGCCTGATATTTGAATCCAAAGTTAACCTAAAAATTAGCTTGTTTCGTTTCATTTGTCCAGCAGTTTATATTGAAAGGTGTTATTAGAGGCTCAAAATTAGTGCCACTTACCACTTTCCACAACTCACATTCTGTCGAACGCCACGTACGTCTGCCAAAATCAACCGAGTGTAAATCATATAGAACGGTTTGTTGGGTTTGCGCAGGTGAGCGCGACGTACAGCGTCAGCAGTGTTTCAACATCGTGCTAAACAGATCCTGCTGACGTTTACGTTGTGAGTTCTGCGTCGCGCACTGTCCTAACATACCGTAGCTTAAGTTAAGCCAGCTTAAGATGTAAGATTGTATGCCACTACCATTGTTTAACGGTAATTTTAAAACCAGAAAATGAAAAACTAATTTTGAAAGAATAAAAGAATAATTAGTATTGGACAACTGAGGAAATGGCAAAACTGATACAGCCATGGTCACAATACTCAACAACAACACAGCTGATATCGAAAATGTATCTTTGTTTCCACTTTACTCTTCAAACTTTACTCACTGGTCTAACTGGGCTCATAACCTGTTAAATATAGTAGTTGTTTTTTGACTAAAGCATGTTATTACGCAGATAAAACTTTCACTTATTTCCTTGAAATCGCTATTTATGCAACAAGTATGTAAAGTGAACTTTTTTTTGATGCACGACCTGAAGGCCGAGTGCGACAATCACATGAGTGGAAAAAGGTGCTTCATATACAATTTTTTTTCTACTACCAATAAAATATGTGTAAAAAAATAAATTTAGACAATTACTTTAAGCACTAGTGCATAAATTATTTTCACTTTATGCACTAACGCATGAAGAAATTTGCATAATAATCCGCCGGATTAAAAGTAATTTTCTGGTGTTTACTTTTAATACTTTTGACCGGTAGGAGAATTATTTTCCTTTTTTAGAGGCACATAAAAGGTTGGAGAAAGTGAACCGAATACGAAATGATGCTACTAAAGCAGAAACGAATAGAGGTAAAGAAAATAAAGTAAATAAAAGCAAAGCGAATGGAAATAGAAAAAATGGATCATCCAAAAATGGTGATAGCAAAAATGAATCGGATACAGATAACGGTCCAACCAAGAAAATTATTGATGAAGCCGAAAACCGAAAAAAAATCCAATCCTATTTAGGTACCTATTTCTTTTAGATAAGACTTTTGGACTAATCCACACGAATTTGGACTAGTTTTTATTTCCACAATAATTTTCACTCAGGTTCTATAAGCCGTGGGAATCACCATTATCAGGCATTTTGGTCACTTACATTGAGAAATACCACAGGGGCTTCCATGTTCTCAATAACATAAGGGTTTTTACTAAAACACTTAAATGGAAACAATGCATTGAAAACACCAAATTAACGTATTTTCAACAATCATTAGATATGGATCCAGCTTTCCGTTCAGTGTCACTCCACTGTATAAGCCTTCATTTATTATGTCCCCCAGCAGTAACCAAGATTAAAGTGCCCAAATATAGACAGGTATGTGGAAAATCTTCTTTATATTTTATTATTTGTAATTTTAGTACAAGAGCCCAGAGCCGCCAGACACAGCTTATTCTCTAAAGGACAGAATATGTGGGATTGAGTAGCACTTATAGGTACTATGAACGTTTGTATACCCGCTAAGTTGGGTAGACGGCCAATTAAAAATAATAGTAAGAGCTGAAACTGTTAATTGTGAATAACGGTTTTCCCATTTCTACTCTAGCCTGGAGTAGACTGTAAGTTTAAGAGGGGGAAATCAGTTGACATAGATAGCTCACTCTCAAACGCTTGCATAGTACCCTCGTGCTCACACTTCCGGAAAAATTATTATTGCGTCTGGGAGGATGTTTGACCGGTGCGATTGGTCCGGTTGAGCACACGTAGTTATGAAATAGTCTCCCCAATAATATATAAAAATCAAGCGTTAGAAAAAAAGTTAAAGTTTTTCTCAGCTTTCGCACCTCATGGTGTCGGTAAATTGGCCGTCTACCCAACTTAGCGAGTAAACATACGTTCATAGTACATAGCACATTCTCTTCGAGCTAAATAAAGATACCAGCTACGACAACTCAGTCTTTAGAAGTCCGAGGCACACCAAATGGGACCTTTTTCGGGAGGAGCTCACATAGATGGGCTCTCGGATATGCCGGCAAGGTATATATAACCTTCCAGCCGACATTGAGATTGGGATAAACAAACTGTCCAGCGCAACTCTCCGAGAATACGGGGATAGCTGTCCACTAAGACGGAAACCCCAAAATGCAAAAAATGTCTGGTGGAACCACACTACGGAATTTCACCGGAACATCACGCGTCGGCTTTTTTGAAGGGCTGAACGCTCCAAACTCGCCGCCGACTGGGAAGCGTTTCACGCAGCCCAAAAGCAGTACAAAAAGGCGCTCGGGGATTCCAAAAGACAGAGCTGGGGGCAGTACTGCGGGGATGTTGAAAAAATATCTCCAGCAGCTCGCTTCTGCAAGGCTCTGTCAAAGGGACCTGGTAGTAGAATAGGGTCACTGTCTCTTCCGGGCGATGACTTCACGACCAACAAACAGGAAACCCTGGAGGTCATGCTCCGCACGCACTTCCCGGGCTCCAGCTCAAACAACGCTGTTTTGGCCGGCGCTGGGGCCCCGATTAGCATTGGGCACGACACCGCCAAAAAAGTAGTAAGTTATGAGAGGATAATATGGGCGATTTAGAGGTCCGTGAAGTTGGCGCCTAAGTGTTAATTTTTTTTCTGAAAATATATTTTTTATTAGTGCTTGGTTAGTGCTTCTTAGTGCTTCAATTTTGTTCGTTAGTGCTCTTTCCATTTTCTGTATACAATTTTTTTTTTGTAATTTCAAGGTCAGCCCTAACAATCTGTCAAAATGAAGAAAATTTATAACTATGTTTTATTGCTTCATTAGTGCTTCCTAGTGCTTCAAATAGTTTCGAAAGTGCTTTTCTAATTTTTTAGATATTTTAGATTTTAACTTCAAGGTCAGCCCCCATAAATTTTCCGAATTACTAAATTCTGGTGTCATCTTTTAGTGCTTCGTTAGTGCTTCAAACAGTTGCATTCAAGAATATTTCCTTTCTGAGATATTGAACTTTCAATTTTCAAGGTCAGTCCTCAAATCATATCGGATTGAGTTAAATCTAGAGTCGTCTACTTGTATACCTATTATTACTTGTTTGTTGATACCAATGCACTATAAAATTGAGGCAAATTGAGATGGAGAATGTGACGGATACCAATCACTATTTATCTAGTTGGCGAATCATGTAAATTTTTCCTTGTCTAAGAGATATTATATTTGAGGTTAGGAACATACCAAATGCAACAGCAATGATAACCAGCATCTTCTTCTTCTAGATGCTTTTAGCAACACACTTTTGCAACTAAATTACTATAAAAGAGAGAGATAGAGAGTGCCCCTTAGCCCCCTTATATATTTTCTCCCATAGTATAAATCAATGTTTTCTTGTTCATTGGCAGTGGCGTCCCTGTGTTTTCTGTACATTTGGAATAAGTTCGGGTTTCTGTGGTTTGGGTGCCAATTTTAAAATAAAAAATACTAAATAATTAATTAATTAAAACCATCAAAAGCACTATAAAGCACTAACAATGCGCAAAAAAACGACTCTAGATTTAATTTAATCCCATATGATTTGAGGGCTGACCTTGAAAATTTAAAGTTGAATATCTCAAAAAGGAAATATTCTTGGATGCAACTGTTTGAAGTTCTAAGAAGCACTAACGAAGCACTAAAAACTAGCACCAAAATTGAGTAATTCGGGAAATTTTCGGGGGATGGCCTTGAAGTTAAATGTAAAATATCTAAGAAATTAGAAAAGCACATTCGAAACTATTTGACGCACTAAGAAGCACTAACGGAGCACAAAAAACATAGTAACAAATTTCGTTCATTTCGACAGATTGTCAGGGCTGACCTTGAAATCATAAAAAAATCAATATACAGAAAACTGAAAAATCACTAACGAAAACAATTGAGGCACTAAGAAGCACTAAAGAAGCACTAACAAAAAAGATATTTTCCCAAAAAAAAAAAATTAACACTTTAGGGGTCAACTTCACGGACCTGCGATTTAGTCCTTTCCTCCCTTTAAATCCCCTGGTAAGGATGGAATACACCCTTGCCAGCTGCAAAACGCATCGGATATCATCACTGTCCACCTGGTAAAATTTTTCACATCTTGCCTCGCTCATGGATATATTCCAGAGCAGTGGAGAGAGGTTGAAGGTAATCTTCATTCCGAAAACCGGACGGAATGACTACTCCGACCCAAAATCGTATCGACCCATTAACCTCACTAGTTTCCTGCTCAAGACTCTGGAGAGGCTACTGGACCGGTATGTGGAGGAAGGAAATTTCCAGACCTTTACACACTCAACAATACGCCTATCAGACTGGCAAATCCACAGAACTGGCCTTGCACCACCTGTTCAGGAAGGTGGAAGGAAATCTGGTGAGTGGAAAGGCCAGTCTGGCGGCATTCCTTGACATTGAAGGGGCATTTGATAATATCCCTCTCAACATCATGTGCGGAGCGCTCGTAGAGCGTGGTTTAGAGCCCTGTCTGGTGAGATATATAGAGGCCATGCTCTCGCAACGCCAAGTGTCCGCAGAGCTTAACAATGCGGTGGTTAGAGCGGTGGCCGCCAGAGGCTGTCCGCAGGGTGGAGTTTTATCCCCGACTCTATGGTGCCTGGTGGTTCACGACCGGCTGGAAATCTGTAACGAACAGAGATCGTTATCCCTATCGCTATGGCACTTGCTGTCTTCTTCTCTCTTGTCGAAATCAATAGAGAGGAGACGTCAATAGAGATAGAGGAAATATCTCTATTCCTTACAGAGTCCCAGCCGTGATTACAGTGATTACTAACCTAAAAAAGGCAGGCTTGTATACTCAGGCCTACGCCGACGACCTGGTTATCCTTTGTCCGGGTAATGACACCGTCTCAATGTAGGGCCCTATGGCAAGGGCTCTGCGCATAGTGGACCGGTGGTGCTTTGCGAAAGGACTCAGGATAAACCCTAATAAGGCGGAGCTCCTACTCTTCTCCAGGAGACGCAACTTCTGCACACCGCCCAACATTTCTCTGGGAGGTGTGAATCTTAAATCCTCCAGGGTGGTTAAGTATCTAGGCGTGATGCTGGATTCTAGACTGTCCTAGTATGAACACGCAGAAAATAGGATGAAAAAGGCTACCTGTGCCCTTTGGGCATGAAGACGGGCCATTGGTTGCACCAGGGTTCTCTCACCCAAGATCCTTTACTGGATTCATAACTCTATAGTTAGTTAAACCTCTTCTTACGTATCATTTGACAGAGTGCAGAGCCTTTCCTGCCACAGCATAACGGGGTCCATGCGTACGGCCCCAACAAGTGCCCGGGAGACCCTTCTAGGTCTCCTGCCCCTGGACCTCGTGAATCAGTTCGAGGCCATGAGGACATCCTATAGATTGCACGTCCTTGACGAAATGCGCACCGGCGAATCCGGACACGCGAGAATTTGGTCTCACGCCGCAGAAAAATGTCCTGTCCTTCTGTTGGGCAGCGATATCATGCGACCGGAGCTTGTTCATAGCAAAGGCTTGGAGAATAAGTTGTGTCTGGCGGCTCTGGGGCCCTTGGACTATTAGGACTGGGAATAAATCTCAACATTTTTGTTTTAAGGTTAGTGAATCGAATACAGAATCGAGCGAATCCACACCAAGAGCATCATTGAACTCTGAGAACGGAAAGCGATTAGCGAACTATATCAGGGAGAATATAAAAGCTGCTGAAAAAACAAAAAAAATTGTGCACGAGAACGGTATCCTTATTTTATTACACGTTTGGGCTAATTGAGGTTATTGAACTCAAAGATCTAAAAATAAAAAGATAGCGACAACATTAATAATTCAACTGGATACATATCCATCCTTTCTTTTTTGGTGGATTATACAGCCACACTAAATATCACCTTCTTGAAATCCGGCTGAATTCGCTTTCAAGTCTTATCTGCTCTTCATTCGGTAACTGGCCAGCTGAATATGCTCCCGAGCTAAATCATGTATTCCCAGAAGTCATGCCCTTACTTCGTCGGCATAATCTCGAATTTCTTTTCGTTCTTCTTCAGATATTCCGAACATCGGATCGCTTCGTTACTTTTTCTGAACTTCACTTCTGACATTCTCAGGTTTTCCAGGCTCTTGGAATCTCTGAGACCATCAATAAGCGCAGATACTGCCACCCATTCCTGCATGTCTTTCACAGCTACAGGAAACTACCGATTCGAGTTCTTGCAAACTCTCGCCGGGTTTTCTGAATTCTTGCTTTAACTTGAGTTCTCCTTCTTGTCTGTAATGGTCTCCGAAGCGCATTTTTAACGTCGTGATTTAGATGCTGGTAGTTCTGTTGATAGATTGAAGAAATGGACTGAAGAAGATCTAAGGCAGGTCCTCGTAGCGCCACTATCAGTGGCGTAGCTTTTTCTTGATCGTTCCATCCGTTGGTATTTGCAGCAGCTTCAAATTGTCGGATATACATAGTCCGGGACGTAGAACCGTCAAATCAAAAGTTAGTGGTTTTATCTTGATACTAAAGAATGCTCCGACATCACCTGGATTGATGGACTGTATTTCTAATTTATTCACATTATCTTTAAGTGCTTAACTGCTGAAAATCGTTTGGTACCTCAGCTTTTACTTCCTGAACCCCTGAACGTCCTTTTCAACTTCTCGAAAATCGTCTTTAACTTCTTGAACATTGTCTTCAACTTCTTGAACATTGTCTTTAACTTCTTAAACATCGTCTTCAACTACAGCTTTTACTTCCTTAATCTTTTGTTCTAGGTTATCGACAGTTGTCCAAGGTCTTCTTGCCATTCTTGTTGTCGCCTAGCCTATTCTTGTTGTTGTCTAGCTTCTTTTCCTTGTTTTTCGTTTTGTCGTTTAGACTCTTCTTGTTGTCGTTTAGCTTCTTCTTGTTTCTCTTATTGTCGCCTAGCCTCTTCGTCTTGTTTTTCTTGTTGTCGTTTGGCCTCTTGAAGTTCCAACATTTTACGTAGAAGTTCTTCAATTTTGTGCTCTTCTATTTTTGCTTGTCGTCTCGTAATAGGCATATACAGAATGTTCTAGAATTTCCCTCGAACTTCCTTCAAATATCTTTCCTGGTCTTTGATTGAAATCCCATAAAGCCTTCAATTTTTTTGGTGCTTCTTGACATTCAAATCTCCTTTATGACCTTTAAGATAAGGGGATAAGATTTGATTTGCTGAGAAACAAAATATCTTGCATCTCATCAATAATCCTACAATTTCGTGATTGAATTAATTGTTCTGATAGTGGAATCTAGCCGAATAGAACGGATTGCTGATTATAACATGTGGAAGGCTGGAGTACCTCCAAGATCAAGGAGAAACAGTGAACGCTCAAGTTCGAGGAAATCCAGTTATAACTCGAGAAGTTCCAGTTGCCAAAACTCAATTAAAAGTGAGCATATTCTTTTCACTTTGAGAATTGATTTCGGTACATTTTTCAATTAGGTGACAACCTGGAAAAGTTGAATGACGACTCCGAAGGCAATGATTTGACAGAAGATGAAAACAATAAAAGTGTAAGTGGGTAATGTTATAGTATAGTTTTGGTTGAAACGAGCTGCCAATATTTTTTATTTCAGGCGAGTGAAAACAAAATAAAAACGTCATTCGATGATGAAGAGAACCAGACTGAAAGCGATAGCCGGCGAGGAAAATTTCCTTCTAATTTCCCCCATTACATGCTTAGTATAGTGAAAGATCTGAAAGAGAGATACCCGCTAACTAGAAAAATAACTTACCAAGGTGAGATTTTTTAGATTCATTTTATTAAGAATTTCTCTATGGAGTCGCCAAAAAGCTGCAAAGCAAATATGTCATTATTTTATAATAATAAGCCACTTTCACATTTTTCAAAAACATATAGGTACCGTTGCAATTTTTCAATCGAAGATTCACAGTTTTCAGAAGGAGGGCGAGATCTTGTTTGTACTCTACAGTCACGTTTGAAATATCCACTTTTTCCGCAGCGGTAACATATGTATGTAGCCGTTAGAGTCATTAGGAGGAAAACGAACTTAAAGGGGGTGTGCGCCAAAAAAACAACTTCATCTAAAAAAAAAAGAGAAAAAAATCTAAGAATAACAGTGAAAACCGCACCCCTCTATGACAAATAATATCGAAGATATGGGTCTATGAATGTACCGCATCTCACCCTATGACGTCACGAAAGCTCAAGCGACGCACGAGAAAGTGAAGCAAATTGAATTTACATATATTCTTCCTGTGTCACCTGCAATAATCTAAACAAAAACCACTCACGCATGCCAGGAAGAATCAAATTAACAATGCGGAGCGCAGCTGGACGAAGCTCTCGTGACGTCACACACACTTTAAAGCGGTATATCTCAGCGATGGCTTATCGTAGAATAACGAGGTTTGAACAGTTATTCTTAGATTTTTTTACACTAAAACTTTAATTTTTGGCGCATACCCCCTTTAACCGAACTCTACAATCACGCTTAAAATGTCCTCTTCCTCCGCAACGGTAACGTTTAATGCTCCCTTTTAAATTCACCAGCTCTTACAAATAAATAAATAGAATTATTTGTAATTTAGAGCAAGAGAATGTATAGGGTCGTGGAATTCAAAAATAAAGAAAAAATTGTAGCCCCTTTATGTGCAAAATGAAACCACTAAAATTCCAACAAACAATAATTTTAATTGGGTATTTGTTAACAATGAATTTATTTCGAAGTAATTATGAACATTTAGTTTTTCTGGTGAATGTGATATAATACGTACCTCTCCAATCCGGAGCTCTTCAATGGATGTTGGGGTTTCACTTCCATGAACTGAAGCTTTTCGGGTTGTTTCCTATATCTAGGAACGAGGATAGATTGCTGGTGCGACGTCACTCCATCTGATCCAGACTCCAAATAGTGATCTTTTACGTGGTACCAAAAAAGAATAAAACAGTATCAGGTTCACCAAGGTTTGGTTTGGTTTGGGATATTAAATTCCTGAATTCTGTCAAAAAGCGAGTGTCTTGCAAAGAAGATTTAAATTGAAATTAGTTAGTAATAAAATTATTATTGACCAGACACTCTAGATTTTCCCCAAATAGATAAGTTTTAATTTTAGGTACAAACCTACTATTGTAGTACTACACAGGGCCGTGCGAAGCACGCGCGGGCCCCAGTACAGCCATTCCGACGGGCCCCTTTAAAGGGGCCCCGAACATTTTTGAATGTCACGACTGCCCAAATTTTTACCCAAAAGTCGTGGCTTCGTACGCTTCGGGTATTATTTTTTTTGTATGTATTTTTGAAGAAAATTCAGATCTCGTAAGAGGAGTATTATGAACAGCGCATCAGGCGGCAACCATAGGGGGGATACGCACACGCTTGTCGTAGTTGTCGCTTGATTGACAGATACATTACATTATTGAAAATTCAAATTAAATTTAATCTCGGGTTAAATTCAAAGTTGATGTTAAATGATGGTTTTAGGTTCGGTTTCTCAATAGCGAGTCACCTCCGGGTTGGTTTTAACTCAAGGGTTACGTGTCCAGTTGCAATGTTAATTTATTCTGGAATTACGCTTAGCCCGGGGGTGACTGGCTATTGAGAAACCGTTTTGCTGTAAAATTAAACGTTCAGATTTTACAGCCTGTCAAAGTTGCAAGAAAGTTAATTTTTAACTGTCAATATTTCCAAAGCAGTTGAACGTGGGAGAGTATTTTATTTCTGAACTTAGGTAAAAGGTGTATTACATGAAATCTGCTCAGAATTTCACGAAGAATCCGAATATTCAATAATATACAGGGTAGTCTGTTTAAAATAAGAGAGTTGGACCAAATGTCATTGGTTGGACCACGACCAGTTTTTCTGAAACACTCTGTATATGTGAGTTTTTGAACAAAAAAGTAATTTCAACAGTAAAACTTTTATTTGTGGCGGTGCAACATTTTGGTGAATTCATCCACACGCGGATAGTGGACCTAAGAACCTTTTTGGTGGGCCGGGCCCCTACGGAACCCGGGCCCCGGTAATTTGTACCGGCCGCACCCCCCTATGCACGGCCCTGGTACTACAAGATAAAGCTGGAGGGTGAAATAAATTAAATCCAAGGAACTGTCCAAATTCTTGAGATGTTTTAATAAAACTTTTTAAATCAATTTTTGACCTATCCGGATTTCTATTTTAAAATTTCACCTTTTTTCAGCACTCTCATTCTCAAGAAGAAAATGAGAGAGTCAAAGAATAAATTGCTATACAGGCCAGTGTTGATAGGGATGGACACACAAATTTGGTTTACACCGATTCTATTTAGAGCAAATGGTCCAATAATCCAACCCTAACAATTGATTCCGAACCCAAAGTAGCAGTACCTATTTATTTACCAAAACTCTGAATTGACTCTCTTCAATAAGCAATATACCTTGGCTTTTTGAACGTCACAATAGATGAAAAATTAAAATACAATGTTTATATTTTTAAAGTAGATAAGATATCAGGTAATAAAAAAATCAACAGTGATAGTAGACACTGATGGTGAAATAAATTGAAAAATATTAAGGGAAAATCTAGAAATCTGAAGGAAAAAAATTACCAAGTGAAAATCGACTTGCCTGTTTAGTGGTCCGCCAAAGAAGAGACCGCTTTAGAACCAAAAACCCTGCAGGAAAACCAGTCTCGTGTTTTTTTATGCGTAGTAACCATTGAACCAATCAGAAGACAAGACTCAACACTCAACATACACAAAAGACCGTGCTCATACTTCATTAATGAAACACCACGCTGATTAAATGGGAATAGATAAAAACACACTACACCATTTCAACCTCAATTTCGGAAAAAGTAACTTTTATTTAGGAAAATGTAAAGTCATTTTCGGAAAAAGTCTAATTAATTTCAGAAAAAGTAAAGTTAATTTCGGAAAAAGTAAAGTTAATTTCGGAAACAGTAATTTCAAATTCGGAAAACGTAAATTCAAATTCGAATCAGATGAAACAAAAAATTACCAACAAAAACGAACGTCAATTGCTTATTTCATGTACAAATATAGGAAATTCCTAACCTAATTTTATTCGTGTGTTCAAGAAGCGACATACGTTAAGTCACTAGAACGACTGGTACTTCCAAATAGGTAATAAAAATACAATAATGTCTCTATTTCAGTTCAATAAAAATTCACTTTTTGTTCCCACTAATTAGCTCAAATCAATACACCATCAACAACAACGCAATTTATCGACGGCACGTAGCACGAATTTAATGCCCTTCAAAAAGGTGTATCACAACATACCCCTCCCCATTTGGAAAAATAAGGGCTGTTGCCGCCCCCGCTAGGGGGTCGAGGTTTTAGGAATGAAATTAATAGTGAAACGTGTCCCGCTGAAAACAAATTTTTACGGGTCCGAGATTTTTTTAAAATTTTTACATGCAAAACCGTAAATCTTGCTGAACTGTTTTCGATGGGACACCCTGTATATATTCAAGCGTGTGAATAATTTTTGAGAATGATAATGGATGTAGTTCTGTTCACTTGCAGCGATCACGTTATTTTTGTCCCCATGCCAACATAATTCATTCATAAACATGTAGCTACAATATTCCCTCGAATTGTGAAATATAATAGAGGTGAAATGGGACATTTTGTAATATAGGTTACGAACAAAATGTGCGGTACCAAATCTCATTTTCTCATTTATCGTCGACTTTTGAACGAATCCCGTTGAATGTGTATTTACATATACAATATACCTTGGCTTTTTGAATTTCCCATTCTATTGGGGGTTGAGCCATCAATTTTATTTATATTTTATACTTCAAGGAAGGTATTGTACAAATACCTTATGTCACTTTCTATGCTGGAAATAAACACTTGTGCTGCATGATCTCTCCGCGATACAATTGAAATTTAGAAATACAATCGCCATGAGAGCCATTTATCACATATGCAAAAGATTCTGGTGTGTGCTCAAAACTTTTGATTGTGTGTCTTCAGGCTTTGGTTCAATTATCATTTCCAGCAACTGTCACAAAAATTAGGTTTAGGGTAGTTTGGGTTAGTATGGAAAATCAAGCGATCGCAGAAAAACTCATGTGTGTAACTTGTGTAACGTTGCCTGTTGCCTTATCTTATAGTGATGCAAATTTTGATTGAAAATTCCAATAATTTTAGATTTTGAGTATTGTTGGGAGCCTGTCCATCCCAACACGTACCTGACTAAGCTCGTCGTACGTCGAAGAAGAGACTCTTCCCTACTACGTAAGAGTTTTTTTTTTACTTTATTATTAGTTTCAACCTAATTTTTCTATGAAGGTTTGTTCCATGACCAAGACTTTGTGATGCCACATTTTCCAGGAACATTAGCGAAAGAGGAAAAAAATGAAGAGGTGAGTAAAAATTGTTTCGGCAAGAAACGATTTCCCAAAGTTTCGATTTCAGGTGGTTGGGAAGAAAAGAAAAACATCTTATACTGACCAGTCGAGAAAATCAACGGATTCTAGTAAACGCATGAAATACGCTTACTATGATCTTCAGAAAAATATTGGAGCTGCACTACAAATTAGAACGAAGGACCATAGTAAATCTCTTTTCATTAATTTTCGTTACACGAGTTCTTTAGAGGTATTTTTGAAACTATTTCATATAATTATATTTTTAAATTACTTTAATAATGCCTATAAAACTCATTGACTATCCTCTGACGTATTATGGCAGTCAAGATCGCACATATACAAATTAATTGCAATCATAGCGGAGTTCGTCGGCAGAAATGGTCTATCTCCGGAAAAATGTCGTGGCGCAACTGACGGAAAAGAAAAAAATGTAAATTTTTTTCATTAAATCTCTACTTGGTGGGATTGATCGAGATTAGGTAGACTCATATCTTAATTAATGTCCGGTAAGGCTACAGTGTAGCGTAGCGGATCATGAAGCTTGTATTAATAAGGACGTATAGTGAAAGTGTGATATATTTTCTTTTTAACAGGCTCTAGTATACCAGTAGCCATTATCTCCAGAGAAAACATCAAATATATTTCCTTATTTTTTGTCATGTGACACAAATGACCCAATCATTTCAACATTATACTGAAAACAGATCCCATGGGCTGTTTTCACTCTATCACGCTGGTCTGTATTTGTTTCTATAATGAACAAGAAAAAATACGTTTTTACAAACACCCTCTAGCAACCAAATGGTTGCAGATAACCAATTTTCGTTTTTTAAACCAGTAGTGAGTTTTTCATAAAATTTGAGCTCCAGAAGCCAGGGTCGAAATTTTTTTATCACTTCAAATAATTTATACATTAAGCTAGTGGTTCAGAGGTTGGTACCGCAATTTTTTTCAACAGAATACAATTTTTCTGTAGTTTTACATTCGTTTGTTTTAGCTCATAAGCAAATATTTACAAACTATATTTAGCATCGAAGCTTATCATTTCGTTTGAAAAACCTTAGGTTCGCTCAAAAATTCCTCGGCTTTGAGTTTGATCTCAGTATCTAGTTTTGTAAATTTTGTCTGAATTACCTCAATTACGTTGTAGATATAGAACCCGTGGACAAGAAAGGTGAACGACCATTGTTTATCGTAAACAAAAGGAGGGTAGATCCAAGTAAGATGAGCTTTCTTAACAACTCCTATTTACTTCAAATTTTTTTTTCCAAATTAGAAGTTTTCCTGGGCTTGTCAGATCTTGAAGAATCGAGATTGCCCGTACCCGTTATCAAAGAAATGATAAGAAGAAAAACAGAAAAAATATTGGAAGAACAGAAAAACCCGCAAATAAGGTGAGTATACAAATTGAAAGTAAACATATTTTTATGATGCAACCGCGCAGTTATTAGTAGGTACCATAACTGTATTTTTCTTAAAATGCCAAGAATGCCAGAATGCCAACCGCATTCAGTCACAAAATCCAGGCGTGATCTCTTCTTTGCCTACCTATTGAAAATAGACTATAATACGATATTTTCATCTTCTTCCTAAAGCACTCAAGAGTCCTACCGCAAAAACTTCACTTTCCGTTCAATCGGAAGTTTTCCGTTGATCTATTTTTGAAATTAAGTTACTGCAACAATTTTTCCATCATACTGTAATGTTAATGTATTATTATAACATGATCAGCAATAGAAGTGAAAAGTTATACTCTCATACCTAACGTAAGGGCCGCCAAGCATACCTCAATATCATTATTCTCAAGTTTCCTAGGGAAACTACAAGTGTTACTATAGGAACGAGTGATTTATTGTCAGATTGGAGGAAAAATTCTCATAAAAGCAATATTATTCAATCTGAATAAAGCATAATTATTTATTTGCAACATGTGCAGTATGACAAAAATCTAGAACCAAACAACAAGGCCGATAATAGACATATAAAAATTTCGGCTGATTTATCGATCTTGTTATGTTAATAACTGAAGAGGAACCTCATGCTGATAACTGGAAATTCATATTCTATACGAACATTCACCTTGAGAACTACATGGTGATTCAAAAGTAAGCGGCATCCTTTCAGGGGCGTATTCCTTGCATAAAAATAAGACAAAAGTTCCTATTAACATGGGTCCGGAAATGCTTCCTAAGGGAGCTACGCCCCTTCGAATAGGACACCTGAAAGACGTATTTTTCTTTATAACTTTGAAACTCTTCACAAATGGATTTTGAAAATTGGTGTATTTTATAAAAAATTGATGGCAATTAAGATACTAAATTGAAAATTCAAAAATCTTAATCAGTGGCGTCACATACTGGGGAGGGTGAGGGTTAAAACATCCTTTTTTTTTTTTACTCGTCAGGTTTTTGCGATTCTGATTGAAAATTCGGAAAGTTTAGAGTTTTTTACACAGAAAAGCTATGGCCTCCACGGTCTCCTGACCTAAACCCGCTCGATTTTTAATTATGGGGACAAATAAAATAGCTAGTTTATTGCCACTCAATACCTAATATGGATGTTCTCAGACAAAGAATAGAGGACGCATTTCAGACAATTAGAAACAACCCAAGAATTCTACCACGTGTGCATCGTAATCTAATAAAAAGATTAACAGCTTGTCGTGATGCTAAATTGTTAGATTGTGTGTTCTTTTTTTTCCATTGCAACGCAGAGTGGTTTTCATAAATAAACATACGCAAATCAGAAAATTTTCAAAGTCAATTTTCTCCTAAACGGTACGCTGTATCGAATTGAACCAAAAGTACCTTTTCTATGTAAAAAACTCTAAACTTTCCGAATTTTCAATCAGAATCGCATAAACCTGAAAATTAAAAAAAAATAGGGATGTCTTAATCCTTACCCTTCCTAGTATGTGACGCCACTGATTAAGATTTTTGAATTTTCAATTTAGTATCTTAATTGCCATCTAATTTTTATAAAATATTTTCAAAATCCATTTGTGAAGGGTTTCAAAGTTATAGAAAAAAATACGTCTTTCAGGTGTCCTATTCGAAGGGACGTAGCTCCCTTAGGAAGCATTTCCGGACCCATGTTAATAGGAACTTTTTGTCTTATTTTTATGCAAGGAATACGACCCCGAAAGGATGCTGCTTACTTTTGAATCACCCTGTATAAATAAGAGTACTCATGGCTATTCCTGCTTAAAAACTTCAGATTCAATTGTCATTTAGCTATAGCTTAGTTACTAAATTTATGATTCTTCAAAATAATAGATTCAAGCCAAGACCGACAAAAAGTAACGTTGACCCTGCTACCCTGCATCTTCCTAGTGGACGGTCATATGGAAGAACTTATACCCATTGTGTTGGTTGTGATGCGAAAAATAGGGAACCTAGGCCAATTCCAAAAGTACCAGAATCAAGAGTAAGCGTTTTTAAGTTTTAATTCTTAAGGTAATAATGCCCTTTTTTTCAAGGTCTTGCCTATTCCTCTTCTGCCAGGTCAACCACCGATAATGCAAACAGACTATTCAAAACGCCTTCCTATGTTAATCGACAAGGAGCTATACAAACTCAATTTTTACCGCCAAAAATTCCGTACTGTTGACAGGTCCACAGATCCAGCTTTTTTCTACGAATATAAATATAAATGAAGATATTTTGTAATAGAGAAGACCTAATAAAGAGGTTGACACTATTCAATGATTTATTACTTTTCAGCGACCAATATGGAATTACATACATAGAAAACAATAATTACCTAAGGTGTATTTTTTACCCAAGATGGATTTTGACATTGAAAACTTTGAAACATAAACAATAACAATACCGCTGCTTGGTCCTGATTGGTCGCAAAATGCCGTGTTCCTGCAGGTTGGCATTAGTTTTACAATGCATGTCGAGCAAATGGCATCTTGCGACTAATAAGCGACATTCTCCATGTTTCAAACAGGGGCGTTCCGAAGGCTTTGGTAAATGGGGGTGCCGTTACGTCGTAATGAGCCAACTGACTTTAAAAAACCACAAAAAAAAGTTTGGGGTAGGTAATTTGTACAGGGTGAACTACCTTATATCGCTATGAAAAACATGTGTAATGGCGTATAAATGTTTTACACCGGCGGAGTATACACTTGTACGCCGCTCAAGCTGAAAGTCATTGAAGTGACTCTTATACCTTGTCAAAATGATTACAAAAATTACTGTTATAAGGTGTTTGAAAATAGAGAAAATTAGATTAGTAGGAATGTTATACTTAAATATGTAAATGCAGTAACTTTCATCCAGATTGAAGCTCTACTACCTAACTTATTTTTGTACCGTGTCTATACATATTTTTCCATTTTTTAATTTTGCCCAATCGCGAATAATTTCAGATAAGTTCATAGAGTCTGCCAAGTCGTTCTCTCTTTTAAGGGACATTAGGTAATCTTGGCCGTTTCCACCAACTAATTTGGAGAAACCCTAATAACGATAAGTATTCCTTAAACTAAGATTTCTCCATGGAATACTGTCATTTTAAGGAATACTTGTCGTTAAGGCTCCCCTAAAATAGTTGGTGGAAACGGCCATCAGTCTTTCTTCTCCCATAGTTGTACCATCGTCACCAAAAGTAACTGGGACAGCATCACATTAGCTCTTGTCCTATTATATAAATTTTATTGTCAAATATTTGTCAAACTATGAATTAAATGCATTGAAATAAATGACAGTAGAATTAGTCCAGGAGATTATTATGCATTATTTGTGTACCAGATACTTTTGGTGACGATGGTACGTGAGTCATTTTTTATGAAATTTAGTTAGCTGAATTTTCGCTCATTGGTTGCTACTGAATATCCTGCAGTAAAGAGAAGTTGGCATAATTGAAATGCTTTCTTAAGTACATTTTTATTTTCCAATGCTACTTTCATTACATGTTGCATATTATCAGTAGTTGTGGTATGTTTATTACATAGGTCAAAGAGAATTTCAATCTCTGCTTGGAGCATATAATATAAATCAAGCATAGACTGAAATCAAGTACTAAATTGACATTTCTCATAGATAGGTACAGTTGCGATAAAAAAAAAAGTAGTACAAGAAAAATCTCCATAATCTCCTGGTCTATTATACATTAATTTAATTCATAACCAAAAATGCCATATTTTTGGAATTTTTCAACAAGTTTCTAACTAGAAGGCTTCAGATGACATCACTTTGGCATTTTTCCACCTGTATTTAACCTAGAATATGTCATTGCCTGAACTCAACATATTTTGAAATGTTTATTTACTGTCAAAATTTTGAATGTTACACCGGGAGCTCACATTGGGGATACTTAATAAGTTTTGTAGGTACCTACTACTTTTTTTTGATCGCAACTGTACATTATGTCTAGAGAGAGGAAATGAAAATAAACAGGTGAATCCGCGCAAGTTTTTGAAAATAGTAGATAAATTATCGTTTAAAAAACCTACTAAGGTATCTAAAACTTTAGAAAATTCCATTCTTTAGAACGTGTTTAGGTGAATTTTAGAAATGTTAAGACTGTCCTTTTCTCTTACCAACTGGCGTGGGGATTGGAAACCAACTAGACATTTTTTTTACCAACTGGAGAGGACATTGGGGGAAGGGGCCCCACCCCCATGGGTCCGCCCCTGGTTTCAAAGCAAAGTTGACTATGTCAAAATCTATCTTGGGAAAAAATACAATGCCATAAAATAAAAACTTTGAGGACGTCTGACCCCCTTTTTGCAACGAACTAGACGTCTGACGATTTACATACGTTATCTATGACCTTCAAACAGATAATGTGCAAAATTTCTATAAATTTTGAGCTTTGAGAAAACAGTTTAGATGCTTCTTAAAATTACAACTTTGCCCGCGTCCCAGAGCCAGCTGTCCCGGAACTGTGAGTGCTGACTGTACACTAGCATTCTAGCACTAAAGTACGACCTATTTTGAAAATATCCGCCTTGCGAAAACTCTTGCATGTTTTTGGCGCCACCTCCTGGCCTATAAATACGTTGCACAACACGCGGTTTTTCTTCTCCTCTTTTTATCTCGTGCAAATAAGGAGGACGGATTGCCATACGTAAGTTTAACAAAATTTGGTACATTTTGCCTCGTCTTGCGCAATGAGCGTTCTGTGTTTTTTTTTTAACTAATGAAGTTTTCATATTATTACCTCTTTGTTTGGTAAACTAGATAGATCTACTGTCACTTGACATTCTGATAAATTATAAGAAAAAAAATAGGCATTGATAACATTGTCTCATTTTGTTCTATGACGTCATCCTAAATATAACGTAAAAAACCTATATACCTATTATAATCATTATAATTACGCTAAGCTTGAAGCAACTAGAAGTTCAGAAACTGAGAAATGGCAATGCTTTGTGTCAATCGGCAAAGTAGGTACTGGATTAGGTAAACGTCTAGTGATCAGATATTACATGGTTTTCTTTTTTTTTATTTTAATTTACCTATATTAGTTAGGGAGACGACCGCATTTTTCCTACCCCGATCGAGTTATGTGTCGACACTATCATCAATATATAGTATTATGTGCATCTATTAACCTGTATTCCTGCCTGAGAGCAAATGCTGCCGGAAATATCTTTTAACACATTATTAACAAATTGAAAAAAAAGTAACACTACCCCCATCGAGTTATGTCCTAAGTAGGGTATCAGATTGAAGGTCTCGATGTCCCCTATCTAAAAAGTCGATCCTGCCTCGTGAGAACTTGCCGGAAAAGGGTGGCAGGGCAGCTTATTGGGGCAAGGGCCCGCGGTCTCAGCTTTGACACCTATCAAGTTTTACCCTGAATGATGTGTCAAATTAAAGGTGTTGATAAGTTGATTTAAGGTCTCTTCGCACAGAAATCCCAAACCAGAAGGAGTGAATTTCATTGGTTGAAACTAGTTTCCTGACTGTTTCCAACCAATGAAATTCGCTCTGACTGGTTTGTGATTTCTGTGCGAACAGACCTTAAATCAACTTATTGACACCTTTAATTTGACACTTGACACATCATTTAGTGCAAAGCTTGATAGGTGTCAAAGCAGAGACCGCGGGCCCTTGCCTCAATAAGCTGTCCTGCCACCCTTTTCCGGCAAGTTCTCGCGAGGCAGGATCGACTTTTTAGGTAGGGGACATCGAGACCTTCAATCTGATACTCTACTTAGGGTATAACTCGATGGGGGTAGTGTTACGTTTTTTTCAATTTGTTAAAAGATATTTCCGGCAGCATTTGCTCTCAGGCAGGAATACAGGTTAATAGATGCACATAATACTATATATTGATAATAGTGTCGACACATAACTCGATCGGGGTAGGAAAAATGCGGTCGTCTCCCAAACTATATGTTGTACGAAAAAAAAAATTATTGAAATTCAAATCAAAAACTTTGGCGCGGAAACGCGAGGCTTCAGATGATAGTGCTCGGGACGTCAAAATTTCGTAAACAACAAACGAAGCAACTATCGATTTAAAGCAAATTTGGGAAATTTTATTTCACGTGCAAGTTTCCTATTGCAGACGCATTTTAGTAAGATTTTAGTGACCTTATATCCGACGCCGCTCTTAACTAAAGCTGAAATGCGAAGAGGTAATATGAAGTGAATGGTTAAAAATTGGGTTAAAGTAGCGCGAATATATCCCAAATTCATTGGAGAATTTTAATTGATATTGACAATAAATACTAATACAGTCGTGAGCTCAAAAAGTGGGACACCTGACTGACAGGTCTTGTCATTTTTCGCTATTTTGGGTAGATCAGTCTTTTCTCTACAATGAATTTTTTGTCAAACATGACAATCCCTGTCAATCCTGTCATTGCCCTAGGTATAGCTGGAGCGCCCGCTTTACAATAGGGAAACAAAATCTTAAAAAAAAAGAAAAACGCTAATTAAAAACCCACAATTTATTTATTTAAATTAAAAAACATTATTATCTAACAAAAACCTAATCTTAGGGAGGAAAGAACGGCGGCCGGTGTCGGGTATGTCCCTGTGGCAATCCGTTACCAAAGAACGATGCATTTGGTGGGGGCACCACAGGTGTAAACGGAGGAGGTTGATTTACAAAAGGAGGAAAAGCGTTTGGGGGTGGCGCACTTAGAAGTGACGGAATAGGTGAAGGACCAAGTAAAGGCGGAGGTGTATTAACAGGCGGCGCAAATGAAACTGGTGTACCATAGGAAATAGGTGGCGGTGCATGTGTAAATGTTTGATACGGATATGGCACATCGGAAGGTGGAGGGATTCTTGTGTTTACTGGTGGTGGTACAGTTTCAGGAGATATCTGAGTTTTTTCACTGGTACTACTGGCAGTACTAGCACTACTAGCAGTAGTACTAGTAGTGGCACCATTTGATTGACGACTCGTACTTTGGTTGGAGGGAGATGCAGCAGCTGGCCTTGATGCGCCGGGAGGCGGGCTTTCTGATGACGATTTGACTTCTGGCTGAGAATAAAGATCCAAAACCTAAAAGACAGATTGTATTATATTTTACATGCATTATTAGATATTCAGGCCTATGATATATCATTTTCTGTTATTTTAACAGCAACGTTAAGTAATCTGTCACTGTTTATTCTACACGTAAAAATAGAGACAGGTATAGATTTTGAGCTATAACGCAACTGTTAAAATAACAGGACAGGATACATCATAGGTCAGAATATGTTACTGTTGATGGGCATAATTCAGTTATTCTGTGTGTCTTAGGAAAAAACTATCGACATTTTTAGAACATTACAATTTACTTCATAATAACCAATTTGCCTTTACAGAGAATGTAAGTACTGAAAATGCAGTTGTGAGGGTTTCAGAGGGAATTTAAAAAAAAACTTAGATCAGGGTAACAAAGTAATAGCAATCTTCTTAGACTTAAAAAGGCTTTTGACACTGTTTCACACCAAATTCTCCTACATCGATTAGACAGTATGGGAATTGGAGGTATTCCAAATGAGCTGATTAAATCCTACTTGAGTGGTAGGACAAAAATTACGAAGATTGTAGATCAGCAGTGATAAACTTTGAATGGAGTCTGGTGTGCCGCACCTCTTCTTTTTATATTTATATAAATGGAGTAATGGAATTATTGCAGGAGGATATTCTATTTTGCTTTGCTGATGATACTGCTACTGCCCTAAATGGAGCTAGCTGAGAAATTTTGAAAGAAAGAGCAGAGTCAGCACTACAAAAAATAAAGGGATGGTTGGAACTGAAAAGTTGATCAACTGTTGAAAATTAAATTATCAAAGTTAGTTTTGTTCCACTTTTTGATCAACTCCAGATGTTCAACCAGAATCAACTTTTGTAAAAAAGCACCAAGTATCTTTGCAGTAATGAGTAACTTGATTGAAATTAAAATAATCATGACACACACTCACCTGATGACAAATATCCTCTAACAAATCCATAGTTACATCTTCAACAAACATATCCCACCACCGTAAATGCGCTGGGTTACGACCGACCCAATCAACCACTTCAAATTTGCTAAGTTTTCCAGCTAAATACATTAATGCCACTGCAATGATCTCCGGTTGCCATTGCAAAGAAAGAGTGGTACAAAGGCTATCATTCACAAAAGTCCACGCCATTTGAACCATTTTCTGGAGCTTGGCTTTGTCGCCTTTCAGGCATTTAGCATACCTTAGTAGGTATAGGTAGGGGTGTTCTACTTGCAAGTCAAATTTAATGGTTTGAAGGAGAACTCGTTCTAACGTCATGACCTGAAAAGAAAGTTTGGATGTAGATTATTTGATATTATCTAAATGTGTTATCGTAAATGTGTTATCGAAAGTAGCGCCAAATTCAGATTTAAAAATACATAATAAAGTTACAATAGTTTGCCTCACATCCATTGTTGCTGGTTGCTACCTACTCTCTTCCCTGTCTACAATTTATTTTCAGTGAGTGAATACCAGGATTCTTTCGATATGAACAAACTAATTGTGATCACATGAAGTTTGTTCATGAGGCGTCAAAAAAACAGCTGGGGCCAATGGAATCGTTTTAAAACCAGATGAAAATTGTTTGAAACAAACCTCAAGTGACTTCGATCAGTTTCTTCAGATTGAAATAATACACCTAATATTGGACTTATATGGCCTTTTTTGTGGATTCTGGCATGTAAGTTATTGGTTTTATCCAATGCTTGACCCGGATCAAAGTGAATGACATGGACTTTTTTAATGTTTGTTCACCGTTCGCTGATTTTTTCCTGCTGGCAGTTTCTTTTGTGTTGTTCCTTTCTTTTCAATATGGAAAAATCAAAAAATATGGTATGGTGATTAACTGAATAATATGTTCCTAATTTTGTAAATTTTTATAGTACCATCACTGTCAAAATTGTGAAATATATTTATATATATAAAATGTATAACCACTTGCCAATCGCTATTAGAGAGGAGATATATTATGAATTGTTTCAGAAGAAAGTAAAGATGCTTCTTGTTGATGGGGCTTACTACACGTTGACTGAATTCTACTGTGATATTTTCTGATTTTTTTAATTGTTGAATGTATGAAAATATGTAGTTGTTTTTAATTTGTTGATTTTTACTTTTATTGGTGTGTTCCTCTATTGTCTATTGTCTAATTATATTGTTTCATTTTAAAAAATAGATCATACCTGTGTTATCGTTCGTTTAGCTTTAGTTTAGTATGTAAAAATTGTAGTTTCCTTTATTATATTTTTATTTAAACAGCTTTGTCAATCAGATACTTTTGTCTTGGATAATAAAGCATATTTTGAATTGAATTGAATCGAATATTCAAATAAGAAAAATTAAAGATAAGGATGAACACTTGTCACTTGATGAAAACAAAACTTTTCCTACCAGGGGCACCAAAGGCGTACCTACAGAAAATGGCTGGGAAAAGCAGAAGTTACAAAAAATGAGCGAAATCGATTTGCGGGATGCGATCGAAGAGCTTCGCTTGGCTCTATATAAATCGTGTAAAGAGGCATTACACTAATGTATGCTCCATCAGAAACCAAATTGGAGAAATAGAGGCCAAGAAGCCACAATAAAATCAAGAACGAAATATGATGTTAACTGGGTAACGGACCAATTAGGAACCGATTGAGAAGTGTTTTCTCTCTGCCGGACCATCCGTGGACGCGTTTCGCTGTTTTACAACAGCTCATCAGCACGGTTAGGTCCCGCAGCAAAAAAAAAACCCATCCATTCCTGTTAAGTAAATGCTTTTATTCAATAGAAGAATTTTTGAAATATCAGGTCACAGATTTGGGTTTTTAACTAGTTTTGAATAGTCCTATACCATACCTGGTTCTGTCCTTTTATAAAGAACGTTTTAAAAATTCTATACAGATGTGATATACCCATTAAGTGATATAGTATACAAGTTCCTTTTAGAATTAATCTTACCTAATTGTAACCTAAATTTAGGATCTTTGATATTTTGACTCGGATTTTGATAACATTATGGAACTATGTTTTTAAGTCTGAAATATATTCAACCTTATACAACCTTATGGATTTTTAGATATTTGTGCAGTGTAAACCTGGGCCATTTTGACTCTTTCACACTCCGTAAGTTCGTCGGACAAGTATAGTGAAAATAAGTAAAGATTGAAAACAATTCTTACCTCTTCTTTTGGATCTGAGCCAAAAGTTGCAAATTTATTATCTGCCAGTAGGGCCTTTGCAATTTTAATAATGTCCTTACATTTCTTTGGTGTCTCTTCAACTTTTCCAGCCAAAAATAAGCAACAGCACGCAGTTACGAATCTTGGAAATTGTTGAAAGGAATGGAACATATAAAACCTGTGGTAGTAAACAACTCCAGTGGCGGTTGTGTTGTATCCTAGGTCCATTTTCATGCCAGTGTCGATTATAAATCTTGCTCCTGTTCAACAAAGAGTATTAATTTTAATAAGCATATCAATTTGATTTAAAAAAATAACAATTGAAATTGGATTGTGTCGCTACCTCAATTAATTACTAGAGTTAAAAATCTTGAAAGTACAGCTTTTTGAATTTTGATAGCCCACTCTGGTGACTGGAGACAAACAGCTGTCTTTTGGCAAATGATAACAGTTTGAGTGTTTAAAGGAGAGTACATATTTCAAGGGAGTAAATAAACGCACTTTGGATGCAAGAGGTGTGTAGATCTTCATGCATCTCCTGGTAAGTTTATTGCAAAAATTCTTCAAATAAAAGAAAAAACTTACATTTTCAATATCAACATTAAGAGGAGGCATAGAAAAGGGTCTCCCTCCTATGAAATTTTCAATTATCGATAATATGATCAAAGAAAAGCTTAAAAGAAAGTCAGTCCAAAAAAAATCAGGTTTCCCTTTCTATGGGTCACAAACACATATGCATGAAGTTAGCCTCGATTTTTAGACAGTCACAAATTAGAGACTCATGCACAATTTCTACTTTTTCCAATCTCTTTTCCTAATGTAAAATCCTCGGTAAAATCTAAATTTGAAACATATTTTTCGTTTGCGTGCATTTCTGATTCTTTTCCCAAGATTTGGGATGGGTTAAGTTACCAACACTACTATCTTTTTATAGCTCGTTTTACAGAAAATTCTAGAATACTGCCTCAAGTTGGTTTTGAAAAATTGGTAGGGGATCAAGGGTTGAACATATCCAAGCATATCAGAAAAATCAACAAAAGTAAGGTTTGTGATAGTTTTTATCACTCACTTGAAGGTTTGGATAGTCTTTATCTTGGCCTTTATCATTCCCATAGTGCAGTCGTAGTGAATACATTGAACGCTAATTAAATGCTGTTATGAGAAATTTTAAGCTCCGCCAATTTCATGGCAATTCTGCTGGCTTTAACCCTCGCTTTAACCTAAGCCAGCAGAACAACAACGAAAATCGCAATTCCACTTGCACAGACATTGAAGGCTCCGGAAATGCACCAATCGCAAATTTCAGGCTCAATTACTTTTTTGATTTAGTGAGTTTGGAAAAGTCTGATTAAAATTGCAAAGTACCCAAACTAACCAGGTTATTATTGGTAAGTTTAGTAATGTCTGGAATTCGCGATTAGTGTATTTCCGGAGCCTTTAATGAGCCTTGAATGTCTGTGCAAGTGGAATTTCTGCAATTTCTGTCGTTTTAGCCACTTTTTTGCTCAGGTTTTGTTGGCTTAGGTTAAAGCTATCAGAATAGCCATTTTCGCGAAAAACAGCAAAGCCTAAAATTTCTCATTACAGCATTTAATTGCCTTTGATGTATTCACAACGACTGCACTATCGGAATACTGATTTTCACTGTCTGACAGGTTTTTCCGCCATGCTCTGCCGACATTACTCACATATCGCCACTTTTCGCATTTTCACAAAAAAGTAATTGAGCCTGAAATTCGTGATTGTTGTATTGCCAGAGCCTTTAATGTCGATCCCTGTGGAAATGAAATTTTCTTTGTTTTAGCCACTTTTTCGCCCATGTTCTGCTGGCTTATGTTAAAGCTAGCAGAATAGCAATTTTCGCGAAAATTGGCGGAGCCTAAAATTTCTCATTACAGCATTTAATTAGCTTTTAATGTATTCCCTACGACTGCACTGGCGGAGCCTAAAATTTCTCATTACAGCATTTAATTAGCTTTTAATGTATTGACTACGACTGCACCATCGGATCGCTGATTTTCACCATCTGAGAGATTTTTCTGCCATGCTTGGCCGACATCACTCACACATCGCGCTTTTTGCATTTTCACAAAAAAACTAATTGAGAGAAATTCACAATTTTTTTTTTTTTTTTTTTTTTTTTTACGGATATGCGCACTCGCAAGGAAATGTCCTATCACGCTCGAGAAGCGGCAAGTGCGCGGAAATGTCGGTGTATGTTGGTCTTGAAACGGTTCAGGTTGTAACCTGCAGGGAAAACCGTCGCAGGGAGTTTATTCCACAGCGATGGTGTATTTTCAGAGCCTTCAATGAGCCTTTATTGTCTGTGCAAGTGGAATTGCAATTTTCGTTATTCTAGCTACTTTTTCGCTAATGTTCTGCTAGTTTAAGTTAAAGCTAGCAGAACAGTCATTTTCACGAAAAATAAGGGAGCCTTAAATTTCTCATCCGGGCATTTAATTAGCCTTTAATGTTCCATGTATTGATTTTCGATTTTGCTGACTTTGCTCTTCCAGCTTAAGAGACATGCTTCAAATTGGTATTGAAATCTGAGTTGAAATCATTAGTGGATCAAAATCCAAAATTTTGAGAAAATAGATGAAAACCTCAAGTGCTTTTGTTGAGTTTTCCGAGGAGTTTTCTGATATTTTCAACTTTTCCTCTTCACTTCCTTCCTATTGCCAAACCAATTCACAAGACTCTTCTAGAACGCTGTGATATGTCTTCCCTCCTAGAAGATGATACTGGTACCGAGACTGGTGCTCCTTACAAAATCTATAGAGCAGTGGTTCCCAACCGGTGGTCCGCGAGAACCCTTAGGCCCATTATCACAATCGATGGTGACCAGAAGATGTCTGACGGATTAGGGTTAACTAGTAAAATTTCGTTCCACAATCTCAGGTATACCAAAATCTTTTGGTTAACCACCAGTATACTTTACCAGCGCTTCATGTTTGGGTTTACCCTAGGTTTTCTCAAAAAATAACCTAAAACTACTGTATGTTTTTCAATGAAAAATTCATATATTTTAAAACAAGAATACTTATGATAATATAAACGCATACGAAGTGACTACAGTGATGATGGGGTATTTGAAGTTGGAGATAGGGCTCCCAAAGCAGGAGTTTTTATAGAGAGGGGTTTAATTATTTTGAAATACATGATGGGCAAGAGTTTTTTGCTAGCTTTTAGACTCCGACCAAATACAGTAGTATCAAATTCTGTAGTATCAAAATGTACTTAGAACCAGGATCTACATACATTTTTGAATTTATCAATAAAATGCGGTAGGTATACATAAATATTAGTAATTTTATTTCACAAAAAACCTACGCTGAAGAAACTAGATTAACCTGGAACAACGGCAGTAGTAAAAAACTTCTAAACGAATAATTAAATACGTATATTTAAATTAATAGTTATTAAAATTTACAAAAAAAAGAGCGATTATTGAATTGAAAAAAACCTGCTGGCCTTATTCCAAAAAATTACCAAATAACAATCTGAATAGCTTCAAATTTCCTTGCTCGTTAACACTTGGAATACCCAAGTATAATTCAAAGTATAGAGGTTCTTGGCTTGAAGATCTTTTTTTCATCAATCAAAAGGAATAAATAATGACACATAGATAATGACATTTTATGATGATGACAAGTTGGAAGTTGCCATATTATGTAATTCTTTTTTTTTGAATTTCACTGGCCACTGCCGCAAATGGACACTGAACGCATCATTCGCGTACCAACCCTAGAAAAAAAGTTTAACCTCCGGTGAACTTAACTAGATGTCACAAAAGTTTGGTGAAATGGTACTCTTATGGTAACCTTAGGGTATAAGTTACCTTGACCTTAAGGTTTACTGCACATTGTGACAATGGGCCTTAAAGTGGTCCGCGAACTGATACGAGACGGATTCTAAAACATTAGATACTGTTTTGAAAATATATATAAATTTTTAAAATATGCATATTTTTTTCTTCAATCAAGCTTAAATAATATTCGTATTCAAAGTACGGTATCTGCCAAAATAAACAGTACTGAAATCTAGGGCTCTGAGTAATATTGCGCACGCAAGTTGCATTTAAAGTGCGTTTTTTTTTTAAGATAAAAGTCAAACTGACATTAGGTTGGCAATACAATGTAAACTTGTCAATGCTTTCAAATTTTTCATGTAGAAAAGGCTTGTGTTGCCAACATAGTTACTAAATTTTTGACTTGGGGAATTATCTTTAAAAAAAAAACAGATTTTACCATATCTCGCTTACTTGGCATTAGTTATGAGGTTGACATTAAGTTAAGGTTAAAATCTTCATCATTATGTATGCAGTTTTCTTAGTAGAGCACTATTTCCGGTCATACGGATTTGGAAGGAAAAAAGGGTTAACTTTGAAAGTCTCAGAAAAATTTCAGCAACCACTCTTAATAAATATTTTCAATGATTTTCAGATTCGTTATGAAGCTTTTTTGCGTCGCTATGATGCATTTTTTGAACATATATGCATGATACAAATTAATAAATGATATAATTTAGATGTTCAGGTTCAGTACTGTTTATTTTCGCGGATACTGTGATACTGATCTTGCTTGAGATTATTCTCTAGAATCGTTCTCAAAAATAATAATTATGTCCCAAATCTGGTCGTGATCACTCGACATAGGAATAATCATAATCATCATAATCTAGAAAGCTCTGACGAAATAGAATAGAAATAAACCGAGAAATAAACACTGCTCTTCAATGACTAATAAACTGTTTTGAGGCTCAAAATAGTCAAAATGAACGTTTTTGGTCATGGCAACAGAAAAAAAAATCTAACTTCAGCAGCGCCTGCGGCGAGCTTCCTTCATTTTTATATTCCCCTCTCCCTCCCTAAGGTTTCAGTCTAGGTACGCCGCTGGTGGTCCGCGAAAATCCCGATGGGGCAGAATTGGTCCGCGCTACTCTTAAGGTTGGGAACCACTGCTATAGAGAAAGGATAAAAACCAAGAAGAAAACTTTTTTTTTTCTTTATATTTTCAAAAAAGTTTTGGACCCTTGATCTTCTACTGATGTCAAAAGCGATTTCAGGCATTAGGGCTCTTAAGTCCTTGACAAAAAAATGGTAGTAAGTAGTACTCCAAAATCTCAAGAAATAACATTACCTATTTATGTTTAGTTTTCTGATATTTTCAACACTTCATCATCCCCTACCTATTGCAAAACCAATTCAAGACATTATTCTAGGACACTTCATTGCTTGCTTTATTGAGTAAGTGATACTGGTACAGGGTGATCTATTATAAATGTCACCCCTGCTAACTTTTTCATTTGACGTTTTTGACAGAAGTGTCAAATACAAAAGTTTCAAGAAATTGTCGAAATTTTTCAACTAAGTCAGTGTTAGGCATACAAGGTGCATCAAAAAAGTGTAGCAGTGTAAAATTATATTTTTTTAAATGGAACACCCTGTATATTGTGCGCTTATTTGTTAGTCCCCTTTAACCTGATTTCAGCGGTATACAATTTGATATATTTATCTCTGGGTTTATCTCCAATAGTTATGGGGAAAAACGCGAAAATCCCTTCCTAGGTCTCATGATATTTCTTTAAAAATAATAATAATAACTCAGACATCTGGATTTATTATAATTATTCACCTTGTATTTTGATGAATAAAATTTGAACAATAAATTGCTTATAAAAAAAATTCTCTAAAGCTAAAATGGTATATTTTTTTCTTTTTTCAATGTGAAATTTTGAAAGGGGTTTTCATGCTTTTTCCATAACCATTGAAGATAGACATATCAAACCGTATATCGTTGAAATCAGGTTGAAAGGGACTAACAAATATGCACACAATGTAGGGTCAGTGCACCAGTAGTTAACCAGTACCCAGTAGTTGACCATTTCTTCCTAAAATTGGATTAACAAGAACCCTGTTGAGTTGCTGGCCGGTTTAATAGTCTAGATATATCATAGTGACCTTTGACTAATAGGTGGCGCAGTGAACACTTTATATTTCATGTAAAGTTTTGTACTTCATTGAAACAAAAATAGAGTGGCCATTTTGTGTATATTTCTGCGTGTTATGGAGTAAGCAAGGTAAGGCAGCACCACATATTATATCCATGTTCATCGGCGATAATAATGTTTAAAATATTAGTTTTTTTGGTTTGAGGGAAAGCAAATAAGTTATTCTAGACCACCCTGTCATTATTTTTCTTCAAACCTGTCATTTTGCCTTTGAAAAACAGGTGGTCAACTACTAAAAAGGAAAATTTAATATGGCTCTAGTTTCTGACCAAAGTGGTCAATTACTGGATATTGCATACATGTTATTATTTCCTCTCCTTATTGGATCTATAGCAACGGATATATGTTTACAGTCTGGCATCTCTCTTCAAAATTGATAATATTCGGCTCCTTTCAGTAGTTGACCAACAGAATGTAATGGTCAACTAGTAACTCAAATTTGTGGTCAACAACTGATTTCTGTTTCAGCATAATGGAAAAGAAAAATACTTTTTTAAATATAGCAAAAGTGACCTTTCTAAAGCAATTATTGCAGATGTACAAAACAAACTGTGTTCAATAAGGCAAGCTGAAACAAACTACAATGTTCCCCATTCAACATTAATAAATAAATTGAAAAGTAGATCATCGGTAAAACAAAAGATGAGGCCTTCTTCTATATTAACGGAAGAAGAAGAACAGTTGTTGATTCGTTGGATAACGGTGCAAGAAATATTGAAAATTGATAATCGCTCAACACTGTTTGAAGATGGATTACCTGGAAGGACTTGGTTTAATGCATTCCTCAAGCGCCACCCTGAGATTAGCCAATGTCAAGCTGAGTCCATCCACACTGCAAGAGCTAGTGTAACTGAAGATGCAATTAGAAGATGGCATGAAACAGGGGAGCAGTGTTCCCAGGAGAACGAGTATTCCGTCAGAGGATAAAATATAAGTTTTCCTACCCTACAATGTTTTGTAAATCAATTCTTGTATTTGTAGACATGAGTTTATTATAATAAATAAACCGAGAAATAAACATTTCCCTAAAATTCTTGTTTTAATAATAGTGGTCAACTAAGTACTGGGTCCCATAATGGTCATCTACTGAAAATCTTTGGTCAAAAACTGGCGTTTTTTGTAATTTTAGTTAAGAATAATTTTTGATAATGGAGATTTAAAACTTTTATTAAGCTAAATATCACTTTTTGATAGAAAAGATACTGCCCAACGATCTGGTAATTTTTGTTTTTAGTAAAAAACTAAGACTAAAATTTTACGTTTTTTTTTTTCAAAATTTGTCTAAACTGGTCAACTACTGGTACACTGACCCTACAGGGTGTTCTATTTGAAAAAATATAACTTCACACTGCTGCACTTTTTTGACGCACCCTGTATATCTTAAACTGACTTGGTTAAAAAATTTCTTGGAACTTTTGTATTTAATACTTTTGTCAAAAATGTCAAATGGAAAAGTTAGAAGGTGGTGACATTTATAATAGATCACCCTGTACTTGGTACCCTTCCCAAAATTTAGAGAAAAAGGATAAAAAGCTTAATTTCAATGAGTTTCTTGATATTTCAAACCATGTAGGCATAAAACCTTCCTTATATTCTTGAAAACCAGATTTCTTGCAATATTATTTAGCTTATCATAAAACATGCATGTTCATTCAACCAATTGGGTAGGTATATTGGGAAATTGAACTCACAACAGGCACTTAAGGTCTCGCTGAAGTTCATAGAAGTTCACAGTTCCATTTCCAGAATAAATTTGCGCGACATAAAGTCGGTCGTTTTCAATCTGATACTTTCCGTATGAGGAGCGAGGCGGTGTTTCATTGGTTTCATATGACAAAAACAAACAGGTGTGACATCAGGTAACCATTGGCGTTCTAATGTAGGGAGCCACCAGCTCACATTCCTTTGGAGTATCAGATTAAAATCGACAGACTATACATCTCGCAATACATGCCATGCCTAGTTTAAGTCAAAAGCACTTGCACTTACCTTCTTTTCTGTATCGCATTTCAGTCTTGTAATCCAGACCTGCTGCTCCAGAGGGTGTATGTTTCAGTTCCTGTTTATCAAAATACCACCCTGGCATTTTACCGATAATTTTTAAAAATCACTATTTTATAAAAATTAAATAATATTGAATTGGTTATAAAATATTTATCACAATCACATATGTAAATTTCATATCAATTTCTAATAAAGAAAACGCAAAATTGAAACATTAGATGTTGAGGGGAAGGAACGCGTGCTCCTGTTTCACACTAAAAATCTCTTTTTTTAAAATTCATTCATGAAAATTGTTGAAAATAGAATAGGAATAGGATTGACAAAATTAAACAAAACAAATAAAAAAGTCAACTTCAGATTAAACGACAAGTGACAAACGCTAGTGGAGTGGTGAAGTCAACCGTGCGTTCGGTATTTTGATCTGAGTTCTCCTAACATGAATTTACCATTCGTTTAATTGAAAAGTGTACTCGGTGCAGGCTCATTCGCGTTCATTTATTATAATTTCTGGCACTCTGATACAGCATCAACTGCTCTGTTCGCTCGCTGCTCACGAGATTACGGGTCCGCTCAGCACGCTCTGCTCTTTGAGCAAAATACCGAACGCAAGCCAAAAGTCGCTTTCCAGTTTCCTGTTTAAACACTCCAGGGCTGCGTTCAGGAATGGCTACAGCCAAGCTAAAATTGGCATTTTGCGTTCGAGCTCGGCTCCAACCTACTTGTTTCGGCATTACCGGTGGAGGGGGAAAAGTAGGTTTTGGCATTAGCATTGCTGTCCTTGAACGCACCCCAGCTGCTCTAAAGTCAATTGAAGGCGATTAACCAGTCGGTTATATTGACAAATAAAGAATGCATTTACCGTCATTTATTACCGATTGGTTGACAAATGATGTTTGCTTCATTGGTTATCTGTCAACTATGACCGACCCGTTAATCTATAAAGCCTAGTACTCATAACTGCGAAATTCGCATTTTTTTGACATTGCTTCGACAAATTGACGTTTGATACACGCATAAAACGTCAAATTGTCAACGCAATATCAAAAAAATGCGAATTTCGCAGTTATGAGTACTAGGCTTTAGGGTGGGTATTATAAAACTGCTTTGACAGTTAACTTGAAGTTAACTTTTTGAATTACATGTAATTCCAGAAGTTAACTTTAAGTTAACTCTCAAAGTAGTTTTATAATACCCGCCCTTAATCGATGCTAGAGCGCCCGGACTGTTTATAGGCGCTTGCGTGCAATAAAGATTCGTTTTGGGTAAGGGCGGGTATTATAAAACTACTTTGAGAAATGTGTTTTGATGTCATTGGTTTGTACTTGCCACCAGCATTTGCCTTCCTTGTTTAACAAATAAAAATTGATTGAAACAAATCAATGACGTCAAAAATGTTTGTCGGTTCTTAAACCAGAAGTCATTCATTTTATTTGTCAAAAAAATTTAATGTGTCATATGAATTAATCTACGACAACCCTTTTTTTTCAAGTTTCAAGGTCAAGTATGAACCCTGGTGAAACGAACTTCAATCATATTTAAAATTAGCAAGAGGTGGGCACAAATTGGTGGCGTGTTCCATATGAATATATAGGATTTCAAAGAACCAATAAAAAATAAGACAGCAATTGCCGCCACTGTGGTTAATAGAGTCACTGTACTCTAGAGCACATCGGCAGCGTCACGCACTATACTCTATTTCACGCATGTTGTTTTATTCAACTGTTGAAGCAACGCTGGCAGCGTTGAGCATCTAAGGGTGGGTATTATAAAACTGCTTTGACAGTTAACTTGAAGTTCACTTTTTGAATTACATTTAATTTCAGAAGTTAACTTCAAGTTAACTGTCAAAGTAGTTTTATAATACCCGCCCTAAGCGTTGTTGAATTCAACAAAAGAACAGTCGATGCTCCATCATAAGTGCTGTTTTTTTCATCGGCGTTTTACGATGGCTACTTACCGATGGAACCACCAAGCCAACGATGTAACGAGATGGTTTTGAGCAGTGTTGACTGTTTCATGTTATCCAGATTTCAAGTAGAGATTAGATTAAAGTTGAATAGAATAAAAAGTTTTTATTTATACCTACCAACCAAGTGGAGGTCGCCAGGTCGCTAGTCTGAGCATTGACCTATGAAAACTTTGAATTTACTACGTTTGTGTTTAAACGTGTATTAAAAGTTTTGTGTACCCGTGGTTGTATCCATCAACTCACCGGCACAACAACAAGCCAACAGAAATAGGGTACTTGCATAGGGTGACCATACGTACAGCATTTCGCTGTATTGTACAGCATTTTCAAAGTCTGTCCAGCATTTGATTTTGTACAGCAAACGTACAGCGATTCAAATCCGATCATAATAGACCGATCTCCTATTACCTGGACTGCGCGCGTCGCTTGTAGGCTGCAGGTGAGCGTCCAATGAGAAGAAAGTTTGGTACAGGTTTGCGTCATATTCTTATTCAGGGGCCAGTTCAGAGTGAATCGTTCCTTCTTTCTTTGTAACGTGTAATTCGACAAAGAGCAAACTAATACTTTTACATATTACTTGAACTCACCGCAGTGTCGTTTAAGGTTTTGTCAGATTATACTTGACATATTCCTTTGCAATTTCATTGTGTGATGCTGCCGGGTGAAACATTTATCAAAATAAAAGTGTAAACGATGTTAACATAAACTTTTCAAGCGCTTCTTTTGTCTGATTCAAGGCGTTATAAAACACTTGACACTATATCTCTTCTTTAATGTTACAATGTTCGATTTGTATTATCTTTATTTGTTCTGCAACAATACAATCTGGCTACACTGAACCTACGAGTTGCGCGCGCATGTCATCTTTTATTACTTTCTAACTTGTATTTATTACAATTAAGCTCTCTTTCTCTATTTATGCGAGACAGGTCTATTAAGTTTTTCTTTAAAAAAAATTACGAAAAATTGTCCGTCAATAACTAACGACATTTCTACATTTGCGATTTACGTCATTTACGCCATTATCTCCCAGAGTATTCTTTTTAAAGTTAACTACCTTTTTTATTTCTCTCTATTCCACGCTGCTGAGAAGAAGACACAGCTTAATAGGTCTGTTTCTGCAGCAATCACAAACCAGTCAGCGTGAATTTCATTGGTTGAAAATAGTCAAAAAGTTAGAAACAGTCAGAAAACAAGTTTCAACCCGAGGTTCCTAAAGTTAATAAGTTGTCTGGTAATGGTAAGCAGATTACGTCATCAGGAAGATCTAATGGAGCTGGAGATGACGTCATAAAAGTTATCAGCCAGCCTACCTCTTTCAAACAACCTTGGTTTCAATCATTGAGGCTTTCCAAAGATGTTTTCAAATAAATGAAGTTCACTCTGACTAGTTTGTGATTTCTGTGCGAACAGACCTATTATGTTAGGTATGTCTTTCATTTTATTTATTTTTTTGCTAAGTGGTACAAAAACGGGCTATAAAGTCGACAAAATTTGCATTTAGTGCTTTCTCCACTCACCTGTCCCAAAATTTTAGATGTGTACAGCATTCATACAAAAAAAATATGGTCACCCTATACTTGCATGGAAAATTAAATTGATTATTGTTTATTGCAAACTGTGGGAAATCGAAAAAAAATCGTTACTTTTTTTCAATTTCGCCCAAATATGATTATTCCGGAAATTATACAAATATTAAGTTTTGTATATATAGATATACTGAGCATGTGCAACGTCACTAATTTATATGATAAGTGACGTCATAGGCATATTTCATAGCGTTGTATCTCCGTTAATTTTTGACTAAGAAGAAAAAGGAAAAAACACGTGGTAACTTATTTTTTCTCCAAACGTCAAAAAAACGTCACTTTGTTAACCCCTGTCAAGATGTCAGAAATTTGATTTCTATGCTGCTAGGCAAATCCAGCGGGTTAACACCTGTCGAGGTGGTAGAAATTTAATTTCTATGCTGCTAGGCAACCGCAGCGGCAGTAGAAGTACTTTTAGTGCCGCTTGTCCCCGACCTTACCCCATTCGTTTGGAGAAAAAATAGCGTGTTGCATACGGAGTAGAAGCCCTTTTTTGTGCTTCAGCAGTATTGCAAGCCTCACTACGTTTGGCTCGCAAACCTACTGCTTCAGCACAAAAAAGTAGAGCTTCTACTCCTAATATAACAATATACTATTTCATGGACTAACGAAATCAGCAATAAAAAAAATTGATGCAAGTACCCTATTCTGTGATGACCAACAGCCAGTCAACGTTGCCAACAGAACGGTGAATAAAACAACATGCGTTTCTTCCCAAGATAGATTTTGACACTGTCAACTTTGAAACATAAACAATAGGCAATTTTTCACGAGGATAACAAGAGGATAGCCAAGCATAATCTTTTGCTGGATTATGTGATGTGTCATTTATGTCATACTCCCCTAACACCCCCACCATCAAATTCTGGGATACTCGAGAATCTAGAACACGTAGTTTTTCCTGTGACCGAAATCTCTTTTTTTACATTTAAAATCGACGAAAATATATAACTCACTAGCACAGCCTGAATCGTAAGAATTCCATCGAGGTCTGCGGATGACCTCATCACTATAAGCTGCTGATAGTGACGTCACTCGCAGGCCCAGAATTTGATGGAGAGGGAGTTAGGGGAGTATGGCACAATTGACACATCACACACCCATCTGTACATACAGTCGTGCGTGAGCATAAAAAGTGGGACACCCGTTTTTTCCTGTTGTAAAACGAGCTAAACAGCTATACCTACGGCAATGACAGGGATTGTCATATTTCATTGAAAAAATCCATTGAAGGGAAAATACTGATTTATCCGAAATGCGGAAAATGACAAGATCTGTCAGTCGGGAGTCCCACTTTTTACTTTTTACGCTCACGACTGTATGTTTCGCTGTTTGTCAAAAAGCACAAGGTTGTAACATATTTTGTGTAATAATGATTTAATTTTTGTATTTAAAAATATCAAAATATAAGCGAAGCGTGGTTGAAATAGTGTGTTTATTTTTTTATAATCATAATCCAGCAAAAACACTGCAAGTTTCCTATTTTTTCTATGCGTTTATTGTTCGTCGATTTTTAACTGACACTTGCCGTATGAGGACCGAGGGGGTGTTTCATATGGCAAAAACAGGTGTGACGTCAGGTAACCATTGGCGTTCTATCTAATGTAGGGAGCCACCAGCTCACATTCCGTCCGAGTATCAGATTAAAATCGACGGACAATACATTGTTAACGCGCCAATAAAGGAATGCAGGTGACGTCACAGCACTGGTGGACAAATTTAGCCAATTGAGCAATCCTGTAGAGTACGATTCTTGGTGTCTTCACACTTCAGTTTTATGAACACACTCCGTTTCGTGTTCGTGATTCGTTTGGGCGAATCCAACTGCTTTGCTGTAAAAATTGCCAATAATGACAGGTTTAATTTTGGGTTTAACGAACACTCCGTTGATTTCTTCTGGCGCCAGTGTCTACTTGGCTAGCCCCAAGGTTGTTTCGGAAAAGTAGGCTGCCTGATATATTTTATGACGTCATCGGAGGTGCCCCAACATAATGCCAATCTCTATAAAAGACCCCAGAGACGTCATCAAGCTACCCATTACCAGACAACCTATTAACTTTAGGAAACTTGGGCTAGCCCGAGATTTGTCCACGGATAGTACACACTGCTACAGGATTGCTTATCGACTTCGTTTTTGGTAATCGCGGTTATATGGTGTAGCACCATTGTCGACGTCATTACTAACCGTGCGTTCGGTATTATCATTTGAGTTCCCCGAGCTTGAATGTATCGTTCGTTTATTTAAAAAGTGTATTCGGTGCTGGCTTATTCGCGTTCGTTTATTGAAAATTTCTGGTACTCTGATACAGCGTTCAACTGCTCTGTTCGCTCGCTAGTCATATGATTACGGCTCCGCTCAGCACGATCTGCTCTTTGAGCAAAATACAGAACGCAAGGCAAGTCGTTAGCTGTTTGCGCCAGTGGTTGGACTCATTCCTCTAGTGTAAAGCTTCGTACAGCAGAGCCGCTTTCCAGCTGAAAACTCGCGTAGGTTTGGCACCGAGCGCTTCGAACTTCACAAGCTTGGAGCGACGATTTCAGTTGGAACACGCTTCTGAAACCTTAATTTCTCGCATTAAAGTCACCGTCAAATTGTTTATTAGAGAGATATTAGAGAGTTATTGGACGTGCAATAAGGACAATCAGTATTTAAATTAGCCTTATTTTGACATCTACGCATGCGCATTTGGGTCCGAAAATAAGGAATCCCATAATAAGGTTACTGCTTGTCTTTATTTGTGTATGGTTAGTGCGAGACAGTAAACTTCCCTTATTTCAAATTTCAGACATTTTTGACGACTTTGACGTTTCGCTTTTCGACGATGACGTAATTTTACTTAGAAAATTTATTTTTTACAATAGTTTTCCATTTTACTGTGGGTAACATCAAAAAATGGTATCAGCAGGAAATCAACAAACAAAAATAAACAGTTTTTGAGGCTGAAATTTATAAACATAGCTATCAGCTGTCAAAATTATGAATACAAAATAAGGTAATACTCTAGCACCTACTACAGTCTTCCAATAACTGTTTTTTTCTTGGAAAAATAGTGCTGATGCACTAATAAAATAACGTTGATCCTTAATACTGCGAGGCAGTATTTGATAGTTCCAATAACTCTCTATTGCAAGTGCTTGTCTTATTAAGGCAAGCCTTATTTCGACAGCTGCGCATGCGCAGTTTCCGTTTGGAATAAGGACAGCCTTATTAAGGATAAGGATCTGCCTTATTTAGGAGAAAATAAGACCTGCCGTATCTTTGCCTTATTTAAAAGTTCTTAGTCGATCGGCGATGATCGGTAGGAAACGCGAAATGAGTTTTGTTATGTTTTGTGTTTATAACCATAGATTTTAGATTCATGACAACAAATTTTGACTTTTCTTGAATTTTTTTTTCCCAAACTTTGAGAAATGGGGCAAAATCAAAACGAAAACAGCATCGAGGCACAGAAAAGAGGCAGACTAAAGGTTTGTTTGTTTGTATCGCACTAACTTGAACTAAGCTGTAATATCTCAGATTATGGCAAATAAACCATATAACACGCTCATAAACGAACGCCCAAAAGCAGGAAGTGCTGTCCCGGGGTGCGTTCAAGGACGGCAATGCTAATGCCAAAACCTACTTTTCCCCCTCCACCGGTAATGCTGAACCACGTAGTTTGGAGCCGAACTCGAACGCAAAATGCCAATTTTGGCTTGGCTGTAGCCAATCCTGAACGCAGCCCCGAACAACACAAGTGAAACAGACAATCTCAAGGTTCACGTATAACGATGAACTGGTTTTGCTTAGAGAATTTGTGTCATTTTCCTGCCACTGATCTACGATTTTACACGTACTATATAAATACCTATTTTGAACAAATAATTTCTTATTTTCAAAATATCTAAGCATATATTCCACATCAGAAAGAAAACACTTCAAGTTCAAAACTTAAAAAATAAACATTACCTAACAAAAATTCAATATTTTCAGGTTAGAAATAAGGCATCAACTCCCAGTCGTTTCTGGAAATTTGCAATATCTAAACTTGTCATTCGAAGTAAGGAAATGACCTATCGCGTCTAAATAAGGTTTTAAGCTAGAGTTGACAAACTATCGATAGTGATATCGATAGAATGGCTTACCTATCGATAGTAACTATCGATTGTACTATCGATAGTTTGCTCTGACCAAAGTAACCAAATTTCTAATTAATTACGAAATAAATTTATCAAATGACAACAATAACATCATAACCTTAAATAACCATTAACTTCCAACAGCTACAGATTTCTTTACATTTACTCGCTATTGAGAAACCGGCCCTCAAGAGTTTGGAACACTCGAGCTACTCGCTCCGGTGTTAGTCGACCCCGATTTGATAGGAATACGTGGTGCAACAAACACTTCGAAAGGCATAAGCGCCGGAGCTGTTTCGGATCTCCTCCTAGGTGTGAAAGGAATACAACTATTGTAAATGGACATGCTTACCCTGGATTTAAAACGAACCCGGAGGTGATTCGCCATTGAGAAACCGGCCCTTTGGAATTATCGATAGTGGTATAGGTCTATCGATACTATCGAAAATAAAAAAAATATCGATAGTATCGATATTCCTATCGATAGTTTGTTATCCCTATTTTAAGCCAGGCGCAAACCAGAGCGGTGGCGGTGCGGGCGCGGTGGCGGTAGCGAACAAATACTGCACATGTAAATAAATTAACGTGTGCATACTGAGGTGAACTGGAAAACGCGCCCGCCGTTCCTGCTGCGTTCTACCAAAGAGTAGTATTGTCTTTGGTTCTACCGCGGCTCTGCGGCGGTCACATTGCGATCGGCGGTGTAGAACGCTGCCTGCATCATTTTTCCGCCTAGTTCGCGCGATCTGCATCAGTACAGCGAAGTGCAAACATGTCGTGTGATACTGAAAAACTTAACGAAAATGTGCGAGAAAGGAAAAAAAAACAAGGTTTTTTCTTCCATGTCTTGGGCACTCATTGCGTACTTTCACAGTCAAAATTAAAGATAAAAATGACAGTCAAGTAGCACCTGGTAAAACAGAGATTAATAAAAATGCAAAAAGAAGTTCATCAAAATATGCCAGTAAAGCAAATTCTACAACCAATCTTGATCCAGAAGCCAAAATGAAAATACCGAAAGTACTAATATTTGTCGCGGAAAAAACGCGTTGGTTTGCGGTATCTAGTTCGCTTCGTCACCGCCACCGCTACCGCCACCGCGCCCGCCACAGCCATCGCTCTGGTTTGCGCCTGGCTTTAGCCTTATTGAGGCTGACATGCAATATCTCTCTATTGTCCGTCGTTTTCAATCTGACATTTTCTGTGTGAGGAGCGAGGAGGTGAAGCATATGGTAAAAACAGGAGTGCATTTAGAAATAGAGTGTGAAGGTAGAGTACCTGTTCGTTTCTCGAGGGTTCATACTTTTGTTATCGAACGCGTCATTAAAAGGGTTGGGCCGGGGATTCTAATAGTTGGGGAGCTGGCGTCAAAAACATGCAAGAGTTTTCGCAAGGCGGATATTTTCAAAATAGGTCGTACTTTAGTGCTAGAATGCTAGTGTACAGCACTCACAGTTCCAGGACAGCTGGCTGTGGGACGCGGGCAAAGTTGTAATTTTAAGAAGCATCTAAACTGTTTTCTCAAAGCTCAAAATTTATAGAAATTTTGCACATTATCTGTTTGAAGGTCACAGATAACGTATGTAAATCGTCAGACGTCTAGTTTGTTGCAAAAAGGGGGTCAGACGTCCTCGAAGTTTTTATTTTATGGCATTTTCTTCGGTGTCCTGTCAAAATATATTTTTGCAGGTATTTGACAAATATATTTGAAGAAAATGCCATAAAATACTGTACATCTAACTGTCACCTGCCATCCTGGTATATTAGGCCTGTTCGCACAGCAATCACAAACCAGTCAGAGCGAATTTCATTGGTTGAAAATAATCAGAAACAGTCAGAAAACTAGTTTCAACCAATGAGGTTCACTCTGACTGGTTTGTGATTTCTCTGCGAACAAACCTATTATTGGGTGACAGGTAGATAGATGTAAATGCATATAAAATGTGTACATTTCTTGGACATTAAACTACATGTATCTCAAAAACTAGTCATAGGATTAAGTTGTGCCCATTGTAGTTATTGATCAAAAAGGTGAGATCTATAACATAATAAAATTTGGTAAAATTTGAGCGCGGTCAGAAATCTCATAAAAAGTGTGCAGGGTCCTTTCACAAGAAATAAAATTTAGCCAAAAAAAAAAACAAGAAAATATAAAATATTACGTATGTTATTAACTTACAATGCTCTTAATTCAAGTAACAACTAATTAACTATATTTTTGAGAATTTGATTTGAGATTATATGCAATTAAATTAGCTACCAATTAATCTATTATTCATATTTAATTTAAATAAAAACTCATTATTTAAATATAAAATCACAATATACATAAGTCTTTCATTTTGTAGTTATACTGGGTGTCACTGCATAGTGTCTTGCTTGATAAAATACATAATTATATACTACAATAATATGTAGTATTGTGTGACACTTTGTATAAACAAACTTAGGTATATTACAACAAATTACACTTATTATTGGGTGATTTTTGTTGAAACATACCTATAAAATAAATCCAGTCAAAGAGCTATGTTTTAGAGTCAAAAATAAATAACTTTTATCTTAATATATTTGACTTTGAAAAAGAGATCTTTACACTATAATTCAAAACACATATCCTCAAAATACCATTTGGCTGAATGTGTTTCATCTTGCTCATTATCAAGTTACAACCCTATGTTTTTTCCAATAGAATTGTGGAAATGATTTAAGAAAAAAGTGCAACTTCTGTAAAGTGCTAAAAAATTGAATCTGTATATGGAGATGGAGTGTCAAAAAAAATGGTAGATATTGTTTTTATATAAAGCTCAGTCCTAGACTGATGCGAATTGCGGAAATTGGTTAATCACCTTATCAAATTGATCACAAGCTTCGAATATTTCTCCTTACTATTAACGCCTATGATGATTTTTGTTTCAGAAAAACTCCATATACACATCAAGCTTTCTAAATTAGTATTGGAAAAGTAGCTGCAATAACTTGCCACATTCTTGATTATTTTGATTTGTATAAACGCTTACGTACTTTCGGTTCAAAATGAGCCATCTACCCAAAATTATCTTGTACCTAAGTGATATAAACGGGGACTAACAATAAATTACCATATTTAGTTACCTTACCTATTATAAATATTTACTATAATGTAAACTTTCAGTCTAAACCACTTAATTTATAGACGACGCCTATAAAATAATATCTCATCGATCACTCAAAATTACATTATTGAAGTTTCAACTTAATAATAATTAATAAACACTGTCTTTTTGCTGCAATTTTGCACATCACAAGGAAATATTGATACAGCTTGAAATTTTATAGAGAGATACCAACTTTACTGTTCAATTTATCAAGAATTCATATGAATGAAAAAAATAGAACTGAACCTCATGCCGATTCCTTCACTAATTTTTTCTTACCAGACTTGAGAACATGCAAATTCCTCTTTTATCAACATTTTCCAAAGTCTTACTTTTATCTAAGCTGTACCAAAACTACTGTAAAAATTTGAAGGTAATGAATCTGATATATGAGATGTTTTGGGTTGGGATGAATAATAAATGAATCAATGGTGGGGTTACTCCTAGCTCCTAATTCTAAAACTACAATTTTGCTGGTCATCCTTTTTCTTCTGTGGGTAGCACGATCGATACTGATTTCCTGGGCCCTTCTCTATGCACTGGAACAGTTTCGAATTGCGAATCGACAAGCCGTTGCTGGTCTGGAACGTTAACCATATTTTGAGATCTGGAAAAGAAAATTGTTTTTAATAACTATTCAAATTAGTTGGATGGTAGCATTAAATTATTAAAATTATATTGCATCAATTGATTGAATGTATGTATTTGGAAAGCTGAAATTGCTGTGAGAGCAGCTTCTTGCCTTCTAACAAGCCAAAAATCTAATCATAGCTTTCGACCCAAAAAATTAATCCCTATATGTTACAGTTGACTTTTTTTCTCTTTGAGAGCTAGAAATTGCTGTGAGACCCTCTACTATTTCCTAAGAGTTGTGTAAATTGCAAAAATCAATCCTGAATATGCTAAAATTAGTATTTTCTTATGTAAGAAGCCAAAAAGAGTATCTTGTAGCAAAACTATATATTTTTTAAATAAAATAGGAGTTGAATAATAATTCAGGTAGCATGGATAGCTCAATGGATAGTGAAAGCTCATAAATATTTAAACTATCTGCATTCTATCAAAGAAGCTGATTCCTAAGTCTAGTCGATATCACCAGGATTAAAGTAATGTTTTCATCAATCTAAATCTTCGCCACATCTTTTGCTAATCACCAGCTTCTCATTATCTACTTTGATATAATTTTTATTTTATCAATAATATTATGTAGAGCCACCTTTAGGTCGTACTCAAAAGAAAAAGAAGATTGCGACTGGTGGAAACCATCAGTATTGACACTCACATGGAGAAAGAGAAAAAAGGTGGCGGATGGTCGATGGTCGTTCATTTTGGAATGTGAAAACTGTGGGAAATGGCTTGATAAAATCGATCAACTAGCCCAATAAATCATTGGGATGAAAAAACTACAGTCTATCATATGCAATCACGCTTATCTGGGTTAGCCAAAACGTGCTATAAAATAACCTGGATAGCTATACCTAAATATAACTGAAATGAATAAAAGAATCTTTTGATACAAGCATTTCCTGACCATCAGGATTTTCCTAAAGCGCTGCTCAAAAAGTTTATTTGCCGCTATAGAAGACCTGACGAATCTTGGACAAATTATTATTTCGACAAGATGCAGTTTTAGCGTCAGTATAATATAAGAGGCAAAAGTGCTGTTGCCATGCTTATATTATAGATGGCATTCAAGACAATGCAATACAATCTGGAGCAAGAAATGGTACGTATGGAACACCTGAAGATCTATACAAAGATTACCTGGCTACCTTGATTTGTACAGTTTAACGTGAACGTACAAGACCTGAGTCTACAAAGAGGTACGATAGACAGCAAGAAAATGCAAAGGCAAAGCAGAAGCTTAATCTAAGAATGGGGAAGTGTTTTAATTGTGAAGAATTTGGACATAAACAGTTTGACTGTCCAAAACTACGACTAAAATGCAGTATGCAAGAAACTTAGACACTCAGCAACTAAATATCTCAGAAATAAGCCGTCTAAATCAACACGCAAAACCATGATATGCAATGTTAGTTCAACTTCCAAGAGCAGAGCAATGGTTATTACGTATCCTGTTCAATAAATGGCTATGATAAAAAAGGATTTGTAGGTTTGAAGTAGTTACCATGAAGGAAAGCGGAGCCCGAAAACTCGGTTTAACTTGATCTGAGTGTGACATATTAGGTTTAAAGGGTTATGGTGGCAGTATCCAAGGCTTTGGTTACGAGCAACGTGCACCTTAAAGTAGACCTCTTTGAAGCGGAAGTTCCCGTTCTTATTGTTCCAGACAGATTACAAACTATGGCTGAACTGATTGGACGATCGGTATTGGATAAGCATAACGCAGTGACAGTTTTACGAAAAGCTACTGCTCGAATTTTCAACTAGGAATTGATCGAGTTACCGCAGCTTGACATTTTGCCTGCCAAGAATATTACACTTCTAGCAGAAATGACCAGTGAAATAGCCCCAAATCATATCGGACTGATCAGTAGTGTTTCCAAGGACACTGATTATGCTGGCGATATATTTTTGAATTGAGCTTGAGATTTTCATACGAGCCTATGAGAGAAAACATTCTTCCAAGGTGTGTTGTATCCACGCTTAGCGCAAAAATTCCAGTTTTGAATATTTCTAACCACACGATTCGGTTTGGAAAAAAACAGGTGGTAGCACAAGGTTGACCCTGCGCTCTTGACGACGATCCACAGGTTTGTGTTGATAAAATTGTTCTTGCAAATGTGCCGAAGTTTACGTTGTCAGACAGGATCTTTTGATAAGGATGTAGATAAAGCTGATTTATTAAAATTTTTATCATTAACAAATAAATATCGTGATTGTTCCGCGCAGAACGTTCACAAATTAGGTAAATATTCTAAAATGCCTATTCATCTTACAGGCGATAAACGTACAGGCTTTATCGCCTCTCATATAACGAACGGGAAAAAGTACGAGAAATAGTTAGTTTCCTGATAACAGGGATGATATAGTCAAATTCTCCATTCGCAAGCCCGATAGTGCTTGCTGGTAAGAAAAACGGCGAAACAAGACTAGGTGCGGATTACAGAAAATTGAACTCAAAAACTGTAAGACATTTGTACCCCTTACCACGAGTAGATGATCATTTAGAAATGTTGAAAAACTGCAATTATTTCACTACACTTGATATGGCTAGTGGATATCATCAGATACCCATGGCAAAGGATTCGAGACATAAAACGGCATTCGTAACACCAGACGGGCAATATGAATACCTTAGAATGCCTTTTGGGTTGGTGAATGCACCCGCAGTTTTTCAAGGAACTATAAATACGATTTTGGGATCCATGAGGTTATCCACAGCATTAGCTTACATCACCTTACATGGACGATATATTGGTACCTTCCACAAATTTTCTGACGGGACTTATAGCTCTGGACGACATACTGGAAACCATTAGAAAGGCGTGAGTTACGCTTAAGCTGATAAAGTATCAGTTTTTCAAACATGTATACTGATTCAGAGGCCAGTTCTAGTAATTTACGATCCCAACCTAGCAAGAGAAGTGCACACAGATGCTTCTAGATTCGGTCTATGTAGGTGGTATTTTGCTACAAAGATAAAATTATGCATCTCTCAAGCCGGTCTTATATTTTAGTCATCTAACAAGAAAAGAAAAGCAAAGATATATATCATTCATTTGAACTAGAAGCTTTAGCCGTCGTTAACTCATTACAACGTTTTCGAGTTTATCTGATTGGATTTAAATTTAAAGTGGTTACAGATTGCAATGCTCTTAGAACTGCAATGACGAAACGTGACCTCATCCCTAGGATTGGAAGATGGTGGTTGGTTATACAGGGATTTGATTTTTCTGTAGAATATCGTCCTGGGACCAAAATGAGTCATGTCAATGCGCTGAGTCGTAACTCTGTTGAGGACGAGCCTGAAGCAAATAAATTAGATGTTCTTCAAGTAGACATAACTCGAGAATGATGAACGATGTAAATACTTGATGGAAGTTTTAACAAGGAAACTATTAGTAGATATAAGTATATTAAAGTATAAGTGGATATTAAGGAAACTACTAGTAGATATTAGTTTATTAAAGTATAAGTGGATTACCTAATACTTTTACCTGACACTCAACGCGTTACCAGCAACACAACTCCTCCTTCGGAGTCGTGCTGTTGCTGCGTAACGGGTTTCGTGACAGGTAAAAGTATTATCCGGTAATCCTGAAACCTCTTGTGGTATTACATTCGAGAATTTCATACATCTATCAAAACTGACATTCCAACAATAAAGTGACATGTTTTGATTGTTGATTTGAACCAATCAGATTGGAATTACGCGATATTATCAGATAATTGCATAGTAACTGGTGCGAGAACTGGTGTTTTGACATTTTTTGACAAAAAAATTTAAATTTTTGATTCATGAAATTCTCTCATAAAATACAACTCGTGCAATGGAAATATATCTATAATTTTCCACAAATTTGCACTCATGCGTTTTTAACTGAAAAAGGCATTCGGGCGAATTTCCCAAAAATTATCGATAATTTCCATTGCACTCGTTATATTCTATTGAAAATACCGAAATTAACAATGTTTTACTTTCTATGGGAAAAGATGTTGGGAAAATTTTTTATCGTTTGCAGACAAAAGAAGAGGATTATCAAACTTATAAGAGTCTTATCGACGATTTTAATAAAAATTTTAAGAATACTGTTGATATTTTATATGAACGGGCTAAATTCAATTTGGGGAACCAAATCGAAGGAGAAACTTCTCAAGAATACATTGAAGAAGTAATTAACTTAGCAAAAAAATGTAATTATGGTACATTAGAAAATGAATATCGTTTTGTGGTTGGAATTTTGGACAAAATTCTTCCAGAATCCTTACAGTTAGACACATTTTTGACGCTTGAATCAACAATAACAAAAATCAATCAGGCTGAATGTATTGAAAAACAAAACGGAGAATTGAGAAATAGGTTTTTGGATTTCAAAGAAATAAATACTCTAAGGAAAAATTCGAGGAAAAATTCAAAATTCACCAAATTTAAGAATTATTATAAAAACAATGAAAAATGTTCAAGATGTGGTTCAAAAAATAAACACATAATTCAGCAGTGCCCTGCTTTTAAGATTGTAAATAATGTTCAAAAAGTGGCATACGAAGATATTACGCAAAATATTGTAGAACAAAAAGTATTAAGGAAATAAATAAGGAAACAGTAATGCCAACAACCAGTCAGGACTTATCATATTCTTCGACAGAATCCAGTGACGAATTTGAAAATCCCAAAAAATTTAATGAAATAAAAATTATTGGAAATACACTCACCGACATAAAATTCGGGACAACCAAAATTTAGATCAAATTTAATGTAGGATAACTTTTTCTTCCATAGTCCGATTTCAATCTTTTTTTTTTCATAATGTAGATAATTGTTTCGGTTTTAATTAATTTTATTCAATTTTCAAAAATACAGTTTACATGTTGGAATATACCAGGAAAATAAAAAAGTATATTTTTTCTCTTAACTTTGTAACACTCTGTAGAGTAATTTTGCGAAGTAAGCTACACTGGATATGCTTTTCTGCAGAGTTTGAT